GCTGATATTTTCAAGCATTGAAACCTAGAGGATTTAGAACCACAAGGCCAAATTTGAAGAAAATTTGACAATTCGCCCTGAGGCAATTGCCATTTTAAGTCAACCCCCCGTTTCTTATCTTTTTGTTGTAAAAGATATTCGTTATACTCAGTTTTCCTCGATATATTCTCTCCCAATCATTCCTTTATGTCCCCAGATCATGTCTCAAGCAAGGCGCAAAAAAGAAGGGCGCTTTTGTCGTCATCCCTTGTTGTTTGCCATTTCCCAAATCCGGCCCTCCCTTTTCAAATACTTTTCGAGGCCTAATTAACACGTATTTTCTTGGGTATTTTTGGGGTGCGGGTATTCAAAGTTGAAGAAAAAAGCGGCAGAAGAGGGCGTATGTCAGATTTCTGGCGGGGATGACTTTGGATCTTTTTGGAATTCAGTCTCGGAAAGACGGTGTACCTAATGGGAAGGGGAGCGGAAACGTGCTCGTTGCAAAAATTGTTTGTATCGTATGTAGAGGTTGTGTCTGAAGTTGCGTTTCAGGCCCAGCGGGGTCGTTTTTTGATGTAATTGTTTTTTTTTTGAATGAAGGCTAAATCTATATATGCATTTGAACCTATTATTTGGAAGGTAAACATCTAGGAACTTACGGGAAAGCTTGGCTTTCTGAATTTGCCATAAAATTTTTTTCCATTGACCTCAAAAATACTTGGTACTTAAAATACACTTGAAAATTTCGACCGTTTTCTTACCAGCTGTAAGCAAACCACTATTACTTTCATATTACACTTGACTTTATCCGACATTACAACACGATTTGCCCTATTTTACACCTTTGAAAACACCGTTTAACCGCCAATTATACGTATAATTGTCCTCACACTTTCCTCGTGCCTTTTTTGAGCCACTTACCCTTGCATTCGACCAGTTTATATCATACATCCAGCACTACGATACTTGTACTCCATTCTTTGCTATTACAACTGTCGTGTTGATGTTTTCCAACGACTTTTATTACGCTTTCGCTTTCTCATTTTCTCTCCAAAAAATTCCGTACAACAAATCCCAAACATAGCCGGAGGGTGATGAGAATTTGCAGGCGGTTTACATTACTACGCAGTTGGCGCGACATCATGACGTTATGTTTGAAATTCAGAGCATTACTGCGTGACTGTGCAGATGTATTTTTGGAAGCGATAGGTTTTTGAGTAGGGAGTTGTACGACCCATAAATTTCAAAAATTTAAAATAGTTTTTTTGGTATCTGTGATAGATTTTGTCACACTTTTTTGACACCAAATTTGGGCTTATTGTAAGCTTTGTTATTCGTTAATCAGTCGTATTTTTCAACAACAAAAGCCTCCGTTTCCGCTATTTTTTTCCCTTTTTTACAATTTACCTCTCCTTCTTTTACTATAAGAATTACTTATTCCCCTTTTTTTTCTCTTTTTGACAAGTCATGAGACTTTAATTAAAATTCGCATATTACTATGCAAACGCCGAATACAATCGAACGCCTTGGGGGCATGGGATCTCCGAGGCCTCAGATTTACATATGCAAGAAAAAAGAGGCTTAATTAAATTGAGTAACCCCATTACAACGTCACTCAAAGTCAAACAATCCAGTTGCACTTTTGCTTTGGGTAGTTGTTTTTATTCTATTATTTTTTGTTACCTATTATTTATGTTTTTTGTAGCCTAGGACAGCAGATAGGATGTGTAAAATGAGCATTGAGAGATCAAAGAGATGTTGTCGTTATAAAAAACAAAAAAAAAAAAAAAATTTCGCAATGCCAAAAAATACGTTTGGCATAAATCCGTTACACATAATTTTCATGTATTTACACTTTTTATTTATTAGCAAACTTCCGAAAGAACCCTTTTTTTCCACTCTTTTTCGCATGACACTAAGCCAGTGTTCAGCTCAAGACCCGTTTCCGGTCTCTCGGTTGTCATAAGCACGGCCCGTTCCGTGCCGTTGAATTAATTAACGGAGGGCGTTTTCAGAACATGTTCGCTTAATATTAATACGCTTTTTGTGGTTGATTTTGACGGGGAATTGGCGACGGGGATCTAGACTTTTGGATAGTATCACCTGTCAAGGAAAAGTTTATTTTTTTGGTGATGTTTCGGTAATTCTTAAGGGGAATTTTAGAATTGCTAGGCTTGTTGAGATTTATTTTCGTATAAATGTTCCCTCGAGCACTATTATTTTGCCCCAAAGTCATCTTAAACAGTCTAAAATTTTTCTTTTTCCTACTGTTTTTTCATGCTGAATATTTAAAATTTCTACACCCTAAAATTTAATTAGACATTTTTTATTTATTGAGAGGCTCTTTTTTTGTGTGCTGTCTATTCGCGACATAATATTGTATAATATTTCCAAAACTTTATAACAGTTTTAATTTTCCAGCACCTGCGGAACTTGCCGCAAAATTTCGCATTTCATTTGGCGCCTTTGCAAGTTTAATTTTCTCCATAATTAATTTCGAGTCATCATGGCGACCAGGACAACTTTATAAACACTGTTGTTACACACCTCCCTACTGTATTTTTCTTCGGTTCTCTCCGCATTTCCCAAACTCTTTTTTTGTAAAATTCCGTGACTTTATAACCTATTCTACTATATGTATTCCACTGCACTTTAACCTCTTTTCCTACATGCTCTTTCTCATTTCCCGCAAAAATCAAATGTAACCTTACACTTGTGTTAATACCCTTTCGGTGGGGCCACAGAGTAATTAGGTTGAGGGTGGTAGAGGTGTATAATATGTACATACATGCCCGTGTTCTCCTTCGCCCGTTTTTTGTCGTATCCGCCCCATTGTTGGGGACCGTGAAATAAGGTGGTTCGAGCACGCGGAAAATCTCGAAAGTGTAATTGGGCAGAATGGTAAATAATTGAAATTCAATTTGTGATATGCGTACATGAGGGTGTACGTGAATTTGCGCTTCTTTGGGACTCTTTTTTTGGGAGTTGGTTAAAATTTTGAGAGCGGTGTATTTTGACCTTGTCATAGCAAAAGAAAAAGATGAAATTGATGACGTAGAGTTGGCCTTGGATATGGGATATAAGGATTAGCATCGAGTAGTTCTAAGCCGTCTTTTTTAATACATATATCATCAGCGATTGCATATTTGTCATTCACGGTGTAATTTTTCGCGGAAGTTCGCTTTTTTGCCTACAAATCGATAATGGCGGAGTTGTTACTACATATTTCGTTTCATTACAATCAATGAAACGAAATATGTAGCCCTATGACGAATTCCATGCTCAAAATCTCAACTTTAACTTTCCAACCCATTTTTTCTACCGAAAAAGTACCAAATCTTGTAAAAGTAATCCTCCACTTATCTACTCTGAAAAATAAGCTTTGTGTCCTCATCACATCCGCCACCTTGCACACTCATTTCAATTACTCTTTGTGGCAAAAAGGCTGGTGGTTTCCGTTGAGGGACCAAATCCGCTTTCAACGTCAGTCGATAATCCGCGCTTACCGCCGAAATCCCATCGTATTTTGTAAGTCATAGTAGCACTACATTAGGCCCAACTCCGCCATCCCAATTTTTGAGATTGTAGTTGTAGGGGGGTTTCGCGGCCCACCTCCTGGTACGTAGATTATAGCTGTTTGTTGGGATGTTGGCGGTGTATGTACAATAACATGAGCAAGACAGAGTCTCGTCCATGGTGTAAAGAAAAATTCAGTACAATTTTTTGTGGTTTACAGCGTCAGAGGCAGAGCTTTGTACAGACAGTTGTAGAAAATGCAATTTGTAAGCCATACAGTGGGGGACCTGATCCAGTGGCAAAAAATGTATCATTTTGCATCCGGGATGTATCAAAAATGTGGCAAAATACCTCCCTCTCCAAGTGAAAAACTCAGATTTCAAAAGCGCTCTCTTTTTGTGAGGAAAAAGGACGCCCTTCAAAACGAAGTTTTTTCACTTGAAGAGGGAGATTTTGCCACATTTTTGATACTGCACGATGCAAAATGGTGCATTTTTTTGACACTGGATCAGGCCCCCCTGTAGGTTACCGCATAAGGATTGATTTTTTCCCGTAAAGATCGATTTATTACTCGAAATGTTAGTTGACATTTATTATGTATATAAAAATTTCGCTAACTGACCAATGATTCCCTAAACACGATACCTGCGTTATTTAACCTATTGCTCTTGCAAAATTGCTTTGTCTATTCCGCCGATAACCCAATTATCCCATTACCAAGCCATATTTCATTCATATTATACATGTTTTCTCCCCAAATCATAATTTTCCCCATTCTGTATTCGGAATTTATTACGTGGAAGGGGAACGTCAGGCTGTGTCAAATTTCGATTGATTTCACGCATTATTTGACATTCCACTCGAGTTTTCGACGTATCTTTTGCAGGCACTAGTGGAACTGCTATTTTTGGGGCCATTTACAATCTATTTTCATAGCGAATTTGCGGGCAAATTGTGTCAATTTCTTTGCATAAATTTGTGACGGCGCCAAAGAGTTTTTGTATTGAAAATTTCCTTGAAATTTCATGTCTTTCAATTGTAATTTTTCGACTCTTCCTGACTCAATCCTATTCCAAATTTTCCCAAATTTTGTACCCTTCTTTTTGAGTACATTATCCACTTATCATCATTTTTTTCTCGCCCTGTTTCCCCACTTTTCCCTCGAAACCCAACGCTTAATTTGTGAACCCTCCCTGATTACTCGCATTATGAAATTTGGAAGACATTTTTTGACTTTACAGTTGTCCCCTCCCCTCCGGCCAATTATCAGAAAACCCGATTGGCCACCCTCTAATTGTGAAATGTAAAACAGGGCGAGAGAAAGAGAAGTGGAGGATTAACCATCTCCGCTATCTTCGCGAAACGACCGAGATTACAGCTGTTTACGATTTACATTCGCAAATTTATACTAATCGGGCGTTTTCAGTAGTCTAAGAAGAACGAAAAGCGTTGAGGATTCGTCTGGATGCACTGTAGCGTTTGATTCGAGGATCCGCCCGCGAATCATGGCATTCCTGGCCAATCAGCAACAACAACAACAGAGCAGCAACTCGAACACCCCCGAATTGACGCGGAGCAGTTCGAGCAATGAGGTAAGGGAGAAAACTTGACCGTTTTGTTTTACTCTGCTGCAGCAGTTATACCAGCATGCTGGTATAATTTTTGATCATTCGAACTGCTATTCATTGGTTGACCTTATCGACGCTTGCAGCCGAAAAAATATCAAAATAACCCGAATTTGGTATCAGAAAGTATCGCAGAGATATAAAAAGACTGTTATCTTTGACCAGGGTTTCTGGGATACCTGCTGAGTCCTTTCGCGGCCCCCAAAAAGTATCCCAGAAACCTCCATTTTCCAAACTAAAATTTTTACTGTCTATGTAATACCAATGTCCTAAATTCAGCCCCAATTTTAACTTTTTTCATTTCTAATCTCATTGTCATGTCCCGCTTCTTTCCAAATCCTCTGAAACTTTCATTCATCCCTCATTACAAATTTTCCACAGTTGGTGGCACGCCATCTCTATCATAGACACTTATGTGTAAGATTTACTCCGCTGTAACTGTCACTTTTAATCACGAGTCCTATGACATAATCAGGGCCAATTCCCTCGGATTATCGGGGGGACACCGATTTACAGCCATCGGATTAGGGAAGCCCTCAGGGCCGGATAAGAGTACAGCCTCATGGGCATGGCGTGTAGTCGCGTGAAGACCACAATCAAGCTTTCTTGGGGTTTCTGGGAATCTCGTTTTCGATGATCTTTGTCAAATTGGAAGCTTTTTGTTATAAGTACTCGCGAAAGTCCGCAAAAAGTTGGGCTTCCCATAAATTTTCAGACAAATTTTGCTGGATTTACAATTTCATGGCTTCTGGGATTGAATCGAAGGTTTTTGAGGCTTTGATTTTGTGTTTCAACCCCCTCGCCAAAATTTTTTTACCATTCTTTGATCTACCTATAACTCAAAAAATAAAAACACTATACAATCACAATTTTTAAGCTCGTATTTTACAATTTGAAAAGTTCTAGTTTGTAGTTTGACCCGATTTCTTCAGATTTTACAACAAAAATCCCATTTCCCAGTAAAATGGAATGCCAAAATAACAAAAAAATTATATTTTTGTCTACATTGCATGCTCCACCCTCTATTAGTTACTGCTTGCACGCTAACAATCTTCGAATTGTTTACTAGGACATTTTCTTTTTCGAACTTCCGACCCGGGCGTCCCAAAAAATTTTGTTTTTTATAAATCGCGGTGTTCGGACGTGCCCTTCTGACGAAACCAACTGTTTCTTGAAGGCCCCGAGGGCACACACGACCCGTTTCAAATTGAGATTAGCTCGCGTGCAAATTAAATTCTCGGAAAACGGGTTAACCGGGAATAGTAACTTACTATTCGGCTTTTTTTCCACACGTGCCCGTATTTTTCGTTTGTTTTTTTGAGGGTGTCAAATTTGAATTTGGGAGCTTGAGATAATAGAGCCTCATGTAACAACCGTCTTATGCACGCGTTGACGTTTATGTTTTGAGTGAAAGGCCTCAATGATCCCCCGACAAAAACAAAGCCACGGAAATTTTCAAAACACCACTGCTCAAAGGGCAAGCGGTAGATTTCCCTCAAACTTTTGAAGGGGTCCCTATACGTGCCACATATCAAGTCCTAAAAATCCTAGCCCATTCGTTGCAGGCGCAGCCAAAATTTTCAACGATTTGCGACGAGAGACTATGGAAAATTAGGAGAGACGGTCAGAGAAAAAAGATTTCTCGCTTGTGCCCTTTTGCTGTTGATGTATGAAACTTTATTTTGCATCACGCCTCTAATATTTTATAGAGCTTTCTGAATAAATTCTTTCCTGTTTACCCTCATGACGTCATTTTCTCATTTTGTTTTATGATCCATATTCCGTTGTTTTTCCCACGGAACCCGTCTGTCGTCTCTATTTTTAAAGCACTCTCTTGTTGAGAAAAAGTTTTGCAGTAGGGCTGTTAATAGGGGAAAGACGTCACTTCTTGCAGACACATGGTTTTATGGGTTTTCGAGGGGTAAGATGCCATTTTTAGGATATAAAATATTACTTCTTACAGCAAATTAAATTTAGCAACAGTTTCTTGTGCCGCTAATTTGTCAACGACGTATTTTACATTCCAAATCAAACGCATTCTAACGTTACATTTTCGATTTTTCAGCTACTCGGGCTGCATCAACAGCTTTTGGCCTCAATGCAACATAATGGCTTGAATGGTCCAGGAAGTCCGTTGCAAGTGTCCGCCGGGAATTCCAACACCACGCAACAACTCTATCAGCTGTTACTGTCGCAGAAGCTCCAGCAAAGTCAAGCGCTCCACATATCACCAGTCTCGGAGCCGGCGTCGTCGCAGCCTTCTCCCAATGACCTGGTCCAACAGTTGGCGCAGACTTTGCTTGTGGTAAGTTTGGTAGGGTAAGGGATGATTTAAAGGGGAAATCTCATAGAAAATTATTTACAAATATTAAAAATGTTATTGTAGAACCCCACAATGAACAGCGTCACCCCTCAGAACAGCATGGTCTGCTCGCCCACTCAGCAGTCAGTGCTTGGCCAGGATCTGGCCTTCCAAGGCCTACTTACCACTCAGCCTAGTCTTCTTGCCTCCGTCTTAAACGCTCAAACCCAAGCCCGTCAGAGTCTCCAGCCCAATTTGGTGGCGCTCTTGCAGCAACAACAAGCGCAACGGGCGGCCCAAACAGCTCAGCCTAATCATGCTGCGATCCTGCAGCTAATGCAGACCAATCCGTTGTTGGCGTCGCAGATTTTGGCGCAACAACAGAGCTGTGAGCCGAACCAGACGCTGAGTTTGCTGACTCAGCTGGCTCAGCAGCAACAGGAACAGGCCAGTCCGCCCGCCATGGAGTGTAAGTTAACTTACTTAAAATTCGTTAATTCGGATGACAATATACTGAAAATTTGGGGAAATAATTGAGTATTTGCAGCCCTCAGCAAGTCCCAAACCACCTACGACGAGATCCTCAAGCGTCAACAAGAGTCGCAACAAAACATTGCCGCCGCCATAGCCGCAGTGCAGCAGAAGCAGCCCCGTCTAACTAGCCAATCCTCCAGCTCGTCCCTCTTTTCCAATCCCTGCACTGACGGCCCCAACACCTCCACTCCCACCTCCTCCACGCCCATCGACATATCCACTCCGAAGCCGCCTCATCCGTCGACGGTGCGCCAAGCCTCGTCCGAAAGACTGCTGAGTGGCGCGGAGTCGGTTCAGGATCATATCAGCCGGCTGATCAGCGAGAATGAGGCCATTGTGGAGCCGAATCCGGTGCTGCTGAAACGCCGACCATATCACCGACAGAGCACTTCGAATTCGATTACTTCCCAGACAAGTGAGGCGGTTGGGCGTAAGTTTTTGGATTGAAAATTCACTTTTTATTGCCGTTTTATCTCTATCTCTCTATAATCCACTTTCTTTCAGCTCCATCACAACGAGAATCGCCCGGTCTTTTCCACAATGTCCCTAATCATCGTTTACCGACTACGAGAAGTCAATCGATGCATGAAAGTCAGATGCTTCAGCATGTCCATCGAATGAACAATGGCTCATTGACCAGTGGCCAGCCCCGCTCTACGCAACAACCCGCAACAGCAACCACAACAACCTCGAGTTGCAACTTTTGTAATCTCAAGTTCCCGAATGAAGCCGGTTTGAAAGCCCACGAATTCCGTTGCAGTAAAAAGGAGCAACTCCAAAAACGACTGCTCCTTCAGAAGCAAAAATCGCAGCCGCAACTTCAGCAGTGGCACAGTACAGCGTTGCTAAACGCCCAGCAACAACAACTACTGTTGTTGCATCAACAACAAATCCAGCAGCAACAAAAGTTGCTGGCTCAGCAACAGCATCAATCGACAATAGCGGCATTGGTCGGGGGTGGAGCGGGGGTTGCTCCCGAATTATTCGCAAACAACATCTTTGGCGGTCGCAATTCGGTTCCCATAAGTTCTAGCCCGGGTCCTAGCCGAGTGCAGAACGTCGCAACGTCCAGTACTGCCGCTCCTTCACCTCCGCTTGGGAGTAAGAATGGGACAAGCTCGCCGTCAACCTCTTCCACTTGCTCCGAGAATCGGCATCCGTTGAAAAAGCGGCTTCTGGAGTCGGTAGCGCGCCATAGCAGCGATATGGATCTGAACCATCGTTCGCCGGGCACCCCCACGTCTGCGTGCAGCTCCATGGACACGTCGGAAGCGCAACAATCGCCGGCCAAGATGGCCAAAATGGTAAGTTCGGAATCGGTGCGAATATCGTCGAGTGTTTGTGGACTGAGTTCCTAATCCATTTGTGTTCGTTCATCGTCATTCCTGATTTTTTTGTGAATCGGTCCTCTTTGATTTTATTTCAATTTCTTTCTCTTTCAAACTCGTTGGAAGGAAGCGTTAATTGTGGAATTCTTTCCGAAACTTTTCGACGTATTTTCGCGTTCTCCCGTGCATTTATCGTAGATGCGTTGTGGTTGTTGCCGTTGTGCATGGTTGTGGTTGTGATGTAATAGAAAAAAAACTTTCAGGCAAAAAAGTCACTCTTTAAGGCTAAAAACCCCTAACCAGAGTAACCTTCACTGTTGTGGCACCTTGGTTTCGTTTAGTGTCGATGTTAACCGGTTATTATTGATGACATAAAACTTTCGGCTTCAATTTCTAGGTACCTGACACCGTTAAATTTGCCTACGATATTTGTTTGTTCTAAAACACGGAGAGAAGGCGAGAATCTATGTGTAAAAACGCAACGAAGCCCTAATTAACTCATTATTCTCTCGTTATGCTTTTCTATTATTGTTACTCCCCTACCATGCATTCATCATCACAAACACAATACACATCTACCACATCTCTAATATACTCCCAATTGCTCTCATTCTTCTACAATTCCGTTCGTTTCTGCTCGGGACGGGACGTCATTGCGGGTCGGCCGACTCTTTTTTCGCGAGGTTGGTGGGGACGGCCTGGACTTGCCTCGGGGCTTGCAGCTTGCCTAGGGGATGGAGGACGGGCAATCGCTTTTCTGACATCAACTATATTACACGAGGCACGTCAAACTGAGATAGGCTTAAACGGTCCGGTGAGTACGTTGGCAGTCCGCCAAAAAAACCCCGAAAAAACTTTTAGTCGGGGAAGAAATGGGGATTTTTTTTGGTGGAGAGAGTACGTTTTTGCGCGCCTTTTTCTCTGACTTCTCTGTGAAATCAAGACGAAATGTCAAAAACCGACAGCGAAGAGTCTATTCCGGTCAGCGGACTCCTCCAGTTTGACGTGCGAGGTCCAAATCAAAAAACTGAATAAGAATCAAACTGTTTTTCGAAAATCCCTCAGGTTAGGTCCTCCATTCCCAAAAAAAAGCCACTTGAAAGCCCTATTCCGTCCAGCAACATACGATCACTAGCGTCCTTTCTTTTCTAGGACACCACTTTACTCGAGCTTCTTCAATTAAATGCCGACAGACCAGTCGATGAAGTCATCAACGAGCTCCTCAATTCTACCAAAAAGACCCCTCAAATCATGCCGGACGGGATTTTATATGCCAACTCGTATATCGAGGCCAGGATCTCACTCAAAATGCCATATTCCGTTACTTTGGATCCGAATACCATCCATTTCGACAAGGACGAGGACAATCCCTGGCTATTGCTGCGGAAGGCGAGGAATGTCACATACGACAGGAATGCAATCGAGACGACCGTTTTTTCGCACGAGGAGATGACGGCCGGAGCTTCCAACTACGCGTTGATCGGGATTCAGGTACGAATGCTGCACCGTGCACACCAAAAGATGTGTCAAGGAGAACCTGGCACAGCTAGTGATTTTTTTTCGTCTCTTATAGGCCTTGGCCGACCCATTGACACATCTTCAGGTGTTCTCTTGTCTTCGTCTTTTTGCCACTTTTTTAACCACGCCGCTTTCTAACCATATGTGTGAATGTTCGAAACGATTTGTGCTAAACTACAGTATTTACAGCCTATTATTAGCGCCGACGAGGAAAAACATTTGTTGCAAGTGTTGAGACATAGTCCGAATGAGCCGAAGCTGCTGCATTACAGTCAATCTCAGGCCGTTACTTATCGAACCACACATTCTAGTTATTGGAAAGCCTTTGAAGGAAAGGCGGTGACAAATACGGTAAGTTCAAGAAATGGTCATCAAAATACGACGATTTCAGACCAATGCTTTACCAACTCCAATCAGCGTCGCCGTTGAGGAGGTTCGGAAGTCGCCAAGTCCAATGTTGAGTCCCAAATCTCCGTTAGAATCTCCCAAAGAGCCGATTACTCAGCTGGATCTCAAAATCGATGGATGCGAATCACCCTTGAAGACATTGGAGAAGATCGAGAAACTCGACTTGAAACCTATCGGAAAACTGCGCCCGGAGGAAGTGGAAGTCTATGTAAGGGGTCGCGGAAGAGGAAGATATGTCTGCGAACGATGCGGCATCAGATGCAAGAAGCCTTCAATGTTGAAGAAACATTTGAAGTCGCATACAAACATTCGACCGTTCTCTTGCATCACTTGCAATTTCGCTTTCAAAACGAAGGGAAACTTGACCAAACATCTCTTCAGCAAGACGCATCGAGTAAAAGTGGCAAAGTAAGTGTCTTCAAGAGTTTAAAAATCAAAAAGGCATAGCATCTCCGAAAAGGCTGGATTTTCTGACAAAGCTGATTGAAAACACGATGTTTTTGGAGGAAAAAACGTTTTTCCCATGCCTTCTACGCCCGAAAACCCTGGGAAAACCAAAAAATACTCCTCCTTTCTACCCCTCAAATGTCCTAGTTTTGACCTGAAAATAACTTCACTCTTTGCCTTTCGTTTTCCTTACTAAACACTTCAATTTTAGTACTCGCGGAGAAGCCCAGATCATTGATGGAGAAGAAAACACCTACAGGAACTACAACCCCGAGTCCGAGTTCGATTCCAACGCTATGAAATTAAGCATGCTGGAAAGCCGTTTCGTCAACGACGAATTCGACAACAAGAACGATGACAATGACAGTGAAAACGAGGACGAAATCGACTTCTCCGCGCCCCTTCCCCCCTGTTCGGCCGCTATTCCGTATCGGCGTTTCGGACAAGAAAACATTCTGTTCGAGCGTACGGCGCACACCCCTCCAACCTTGTGGACGCTATATCCGAGCGATGTCAGTACACAATGGCCAAAGCCGGATGATCCTGAGAGATCCTGCCATTCCGCCCCTCCGGCCTGCTCTTCAACGCCGCCTAAACGAAGCGAGAAGAAGGCTATTGAGGTCAAAGAGGTCGAACCCGCTCCGGCAACGGCCGAGTTCAACTTCACTCCGATTTTGAACAATTTCCAATTGAATCGACCCATCGAAATGGAGGATGCAGAAAGAGTGTTGGCTTTGAAGAACCTCCCGATTTCCTCGGCCGCCGCCATCTCTAAGATCTTAAACTTGGCCGAACTGAATCGTCAGAACGTTTTGTACCCCTTGGACAACCTCAAACAAATCAGCAACACCAGTGTTGGCGAGTTCTTGGCAACGGAATGCCGTTCGTTTTACTGTGAGATGTGCGATCGGAAATTCCGCAAAGAATCCGAGCTCAACCTGCATAAACAAACGCATTTAATTGAGCAGCAAAATGCGAGAACCCGAGCCTATCAATGCTTGGAATGCCGGACGGTCCATCGAAGCAAGGCGTTGCTGGTAAAGCACATGGAATTGGCGCATAACAAGACAATAGATCAAGGAGAAGATCGGGTGGAAGAGGTTTCAACGGACGTCGCGGAAACTAGCACGACCGGCAACAACCTTCGCCGCTATTGGTGTAGCGACTGTGATGTGGGCTTTCGAACGCACGGAGTTTTGATCAAACATTTGCGGTCCAAGAACCACGTCAAAACGTTGGCCAGTCAAGGGAAAATTCCGGAAGACGCGTTGAGTCTGATTAAAGACCACAGCAGTCAGCTGGCCCAGATTGACGCCACGGACTGCGTGCAAGCGAAAAGGACGATCCTACGTAAGTTGTTATTATTAGAAGGCAAAGTCGTAAATCGGCGGGCTAAATTGGGGGACAATTTATCACTTGGTTAAGTACAACTCTAGAATTAGAAAGCAACTAAAAAAAACCAGGGAGTATCGGACGAAAAAACAAGCCTCCTTAGAATAACCTACAGTGGTGAACCTGGTCCACTTTTTTGTGAGGGAAAGGGCGCGCCCTTCAAAACTAAGTTTTTTCACTTGGAGAGGGAAGCATTTTGCCACATTTTTTGATACTTCCCGGATTCAAAATGGTACGTTTTTTCCACTGGATCAGGTCCCCCTCTCTACAACGAACTAAAGTCATATCCGACAGAAAAATTTCAAATCTAATTCACCCCTTTTCAGAGCTCCTGGAAGAACTTCGAGCCGAGACAAAAACCGCCACACCCGAAACATCGATTGGAATCAGCGAGCAGAGCCTTACTCTAGTCCAGGAAGCCGTTCGAAAACGTTCCGAAGTCTCCGAATCCCAGGATGTCAAGCCCACCGTTTCTCTATTAAAGAAACCCGATGCCAAACTCTCGGAGCTCCCCTTATTTTCCTTCAATGTCGGCAAACCCGCCCTGCAGAATGGCTCGACGATCGTCAACAATGTCTGGCTTCCACCGAAAGCCGATCAAGTCAAGGAGAACCCCCCGACCAAAACTGTTGAGCATCACGAACCCGCCAGTGTGAGATCGAATGAGGAGAGCGAATCGACCAGTCGGAGTGCGTCATCAACTCCAGTTCAACGACAAACCAACATCAGTGTTAATTGCACCCCATTAAGCCCCAATTCGGCGTCGAACACTCGATGCAACATTTGTGAGGTTAATTTTGACAGCGGAGTCTATCTTCAAGTCCATTATCTGGCCGATCATTGTGCAAGAAGAGATGGAAAGGACTATAGATGTCTTCAGAAGAACTGCGAAAAGGTTTTCAACAGCAAACACACGCTGAAGAATCATGTTTTCACGCATTTTAGTACCGCAACTCCTCCTAATCAAGGTGAGCATTCAGTAATTCCTCGATGACGACTAAACCGATGATTACAAAATCGAAGTTTCAAACGAAATCCAGTATAAAAATAGTAAAAAATCAAATTTCAGTCCAAGAGAAGACCCCTGAACGTCCTCACAAGCGCTCGGTAAACGGCACACCAGAATCTTTGATTGGAATCGCAGATTGGCGGCAAAGCAAGAAGATCAAGACCGAAGAGACTTCGAAAACTACTCCGGTAAGAAAGCCAGTCTGATTACAATGGCTAACACTCTCAATTCTGGGTCCTACAAGACCTACAGTGAGGGAGGGACCTGATCCAGTGGCAAAAAACGTACCATTTTGCATCCGGGAAGCATCAAAAATGTGGCAAAATGCTTCCCTGTCCAAGTGAAAAAACTTCGATTTCAAAAGCGCGCCCTTCAAAACGAACTTTTTTCGCTTGGAGAGGGAGGCATTTTGCCACATTTTTGATATTTCCCGGATGCAAAATGGCACGTTTTTTGCCACTGGACCCCCACTGTACAACCATACCTCATAACGAGTAAAAAAATCCTAGCCCTAATCTCCCGCATTTTCAGACCGAAGTCACCATTCCCTGCCACATGTGTGGGCAGACCTTCAAGGACACGCTGGTCCTCCAAAAGCATTGGGTTGAGAATCACCTGGCCCAGCTCGACTCCCGTCCCCATGTTTGTCAGCGTTGCGACGCCGGCTTCACCACCATCGATGCGTTGCGGCTGCACGCCGCGTCGCACACTTGAATCTCCACCATTTTTTAGTCTACTTTTAGCTGTTATTTTTTGAATTTACTGATCTCAGCACACCCCAGTGACATTTCCAAATCTTTTCCAAAATATAAATATATATATGTGTATATGTACATGTAATTTTCGACTTAACATTGTATAAATCTTCTTTTTTTCCCACCGTTGACATCTCACTTCTTGCGCAACACAACAGTCAGAGAGCTTTACAGGGAAAAAAATTTATATTACACTAGACATCAGGCTCAAAAATTATGGAATTTTTGCAATTGCAAAGCATTTATAGCGTGCCAGTCTTAGCAAAATGCCCTATAACAGCTCTATGATTGTTTCTCTTCTATTTTTTGCGGGATTTCCATTGTTGTATCATCACTAAGATTATTATAAATATATATTTCAACTATCAATTTTCTTGAATATTGTGTAAAATAATATCTTCAAACGTGTTTGAAGGCCCTACTGCAACAAAAAATAGGTTTATCTCTCATCAAGACCAAAAAAAATATCAAAAATCATCTACTAGACCTACTACAAAGTGATAGTCTGAATATATATGTAAACTAATATCATAACCCGGGATGGCTATGAAAACTCGTATTAAGGGCAATTAGAGGGCGGTATACAAAATATTGAAACTAGACAAGACATACGGAGAGAGCAGAGATCCTCGCAATAATCGGGTAGGTCTGATCTTCACCTAATTTCGGGCTGATCCAAAGGTCGGCTAACGTTCTAAAAACACATTACAACTCCAAATAAATACTTCGTAACTTACTTGGTAACAATTTGAACGCATTCAGAGCTCGAGGCTCCGGGATCTTCGTTAATTTTCATGGTCATTAAGTAAATCACATTTCTGAAGGCCGGGTTTTCATTATCGGCGATATTATGAATAACAAGTGGTGCTGTTTCGGCCAATTCATCGATATTCAATACTCCTACAAGTGCTGTTCTATCTTCCTTTTCCAATTTCTTCACTTTTCCGAACAATTTCTCTTCAAAATTACTTCTTTTTAAGCCGGATTCCACTTGAAATAGCTCCGTCGACTGTGGAATGTATTTTTCATTCAATTTTATGAATTCTCCAACCAATTCATTCGCTCTGTTGACATGCCTGGAGGCTATCAGCACCACCAATGGCTGTTTTAAGGGCTCCAATTCAACGCCGGTCATGTGGCGAACGATCTGGCGAAAGGATCGGACAACTTCCATCGTATAAAATGGCGCCGAAAGTGGGTACTTGTCGATGAGCTCGCGGGAACGGTCTCCAAGTACACTGTAGAGATGACCATCGACGGGTTTGGGGGTAGACGAGTTGAAAGTGATGAGAAGGAGGATTGAAAATATTATGGATCCAAATACTGAAGACAAACGTCATGATTAATACAATTTTTGGTTTAAAATTTGAATTTATCCTAGAAAACCGGTGTCTACAGTTCCGAAATACCTTTTAAATCAACTTACAATATGGGAGAGGTACGTGGTTTTGGATTTTCGAGCAGTACTCTTCGATTTGTTGACTGAAATCAAAAATTTAGATGATAAATCCGATAAAAAATTTCAACGAGGTTAAAAACCATTTCCAGATCTCCAAACTCACTTCACATTCTTCCAAGTGGCACTCCACCACTCATCAAAAGATTCGTCGTGATCTGTGAAATGCCCAGACAAACTTTCGTAGCTCGTACTTCGGTTGATGGTCGTTGCGGAAGTCTCAAAACTCTTTGTGAATCTCGAGCGACTCCTCAGCCGTCTGCTCATAGTTTCATTGCCGTCCGAGTCGACGCCATTACCATCAGCAGGGTTGCTGAAAATAACGTTTTTCGGCCAAAATTGAGTGGCTTACCTCAGACCTGAAGCATCCAATTCGTCGCTTAAGTCGGGGTATAACTTCTTTTTGGGCATGAGCCTAGAACAATACTAACTTACTTGGGTCGATCTCTCTATTAAATACAAAACCCTTTTCCTAAAAATCTCGGTTTTCTACAAAGCGCGAGCTAGGATTCTCACATATATTTTCGAAAAAATTATTCTAAATTTGTGCCAAGTTTCATCAAAATCTAAGCGTCGCACATCCCCTGTAAGCCAAAACTTCCTTATCCCTTCAAAAATCACCAACTTTCCCCAACTTCCTTCAGTTTCAAATACAACGACAAGAAACGAATTTACTCTTTAGCCGAATACCAGAAGTTAGTACAATTTATGCATTTATCAAATCAAATTCAGCACAATAAAAATAACAGTAATTATGTACGAAAAGCAGATGAAAAAATAACTCAAAGGCTGGATGGAGGGGTACCGAGTCCAAACTGTGAAAATATAGGCAAATAAAGGGGATGAAAATAAAAAAAGAAGAGGGCGCTTGAACAAGGTAACAACGCCGAGTTTAGACCATACATTAACTTAGGTGGGGGTGGGGGGACAGGGATTTGAGCGGTGCCAAGTTTGAAGGCGTCACAGAATTTAGGGGGTAATGAATGGGTAGTCTGGTGCAGCGGCAACTCATTGGTCGTCGGCTTTGACACGTCGGCGCTGATTGTTGTGTTTGGGAGCTCTTTTTCCGCTTCCATTGGCCTGGGGTGCATCGCCGTTTTGCTTTACCGTTCCGTTGCCATTTTCCTTTTTCACCTTCTTCTCTTCGTCTGAGGAGTCACTGGAGGCTTGTGCGAGCTGTGGTTCTTCTTTCTCGACTAAAAATAAAAAAATATTATCACAAAATTAAAAAATGCAAACTTCAAATCACACTAAACCAATATAGCAAGCAGTCAAACAAGCGATTATTACCTGGTTTGCCGTTGAATGGCCTAAATAGCACTCTCTCTGAAAGCAAAACAAAAATAAGCAGTTAGGAATGTTATTTCACATCAAGCCAACCAAATTAATATTATCCTTACTCGAGTCTCCATTAGTTGGCCTTGGTCCATTCCCATTTCCATTCGCCTGGAATGGGCGTCCATTCCTCTTCGGTGGCCCGTTGAAGCTGCCTCGGGGCCTTCCATTCGAGTTGAATTTGCCGGCGTTATGGAAAACTGGAGGGGATGCCCCGTGATGGATCTTTCTGTTAATATCTTCCACATTCGCCCGCATGGCGTCAATATCATTCAGATGTTTGATATGGTACTGGATAAGCAGATCGGCCAAGGAAATGGCCTCTCGAGTGCCGGTGAAGTGGAAATCAATGTCTTGTTCCTGTAAGACAAAAAAAAATTATTATCCTTGACATTATGCGTTGATTTTACCTAAAAACCAAGAAAAAAAGTAAAATACTTACCAAATCATCAGTTTCTTCGCCAATTTGTACTCTAACCACTCCAGATTTATCGACAACTTCTTGGATCGTCTTTCCGTTCTTTCCTATGACTTTTCCAACAAATCCTCGAGGCACTCGGACTGGTTCGATTACAAATTCAAGAAGATTTCGGGCCTGTTCGGCGGCTTCTTGAGTCGTGGCATATACCTGAAAACAAAAACAGTAATTTTATCCGTAAAAAATTGTAAATAATATTCAACCAAACTTCGGAAATCCCTTTGAACCTTGAACTTACATTAAAAGTGCTGACTCCTCTCTCGCTCTGACTTTCGTCGATCACAATATCCTTGACACCTTCGATGTTACGGGCATTTACAATGTTAGATCCATGTGTTCCAATGGCCAAGCCCATCAATTCGCGGGTTACGGTAAATTTCTCAACGAAGAGCCCCTCGCGATTATCCGAGTTCTGCAGCAGCCGTTCGGCTTGTTCTTGACGCTTCAGGAGCTCCATTTTCTGCGTAGCATCGGTGATGAAGAAATCGGAAAGAGTTGTGGCTCGCTTGATGAAGATTTGAGAGAAAGCCTAAAAATATAAAAATTGCAAAAATTCTTCAAAAAAAATTCAAACTAAATGTACTATAGGTTAATATCCACTTACATAAACGTCAAATCCCTTCTTCTTTTCATTATACTGCACATGAACGTTCTTTACCGACTTTTCAAAATCTTCGTAGTTCTTGGGGTCCTTGAAGAAGCTTCGCAATTCCTCATTTTCCACTGGTATCTCACAATGTTTCAGCTTCTCCGGTGACAATGGCACAGCAAGGTTCAATGGTCGGCAGCTATCGACAGAAACGACGTCGTTGATCGACTTATCATCTACACCTTCAACGACAACAAATTCTCCCTGAAAAATTAAGTGTTGTTTCATATGAACTTTTTCCAAAATCTTCCAAATGCTTTTTCTCATTTTCCTAAAGACCAAACACACAATAAAATGATAATTCTCACCTTGATTTCTCGGACCTTCACTTTCTGCCAAAGCGATTCCGAATCTCCTTTGATGAAGGCCTCGATCACGTCCCCCGGTTTGTAATCCACTTTTGGCACGTTTGAGGAAGTGACTGCTCGACATTGAGTCAAGGGGACTGTCTCTTCCTTGTCTTGACCCAAGTATCTGACCTTAATCGTCTTGTCCTCCACAGTTAGGACTTTTGCTTTCGCAAATCCGCCTTTCTTTTGTTGAATTTCAACTTCCATTATTCCACAGATGTTACGGTAGGTTCCAAAGTCGGATAGTGCCTGAAAAAAGGAGATGTTTGAAAAAATTAAAAACAAATTTCCACGCGACCTCATCCGTGAAAAAACATGATGCAAGAAATGCAAGAACGTGGCATAAATAAAAAGTCAAAGGATGGAAAACTATCAAAGTACATTAACAATTCGTATTTTCCACATTTAATCCCCAAACTTATATGATTTATGAACAAAAAATATTATATTACACATGGCACAAATTTTAAAAAAATATCCAAAAACAAGAACTTAAAACTAGAAAAATATGACCAAGAAAAGCGCAATATAAAATGAACAAAGCAATATCAAATTTCAATGCAAAGACCTGCTAATTAACTGTAAATTAACCTAAATTCAAGAGCGAAAAGATTTGAGATCCGGCTGGGAAACAAGGTGATCTGAGGTGGGGGTGGTCGGACAGACTTGAGAGCAGGGTGTAATGAGGCAACTCCTTCCCTCCCAACCCGGCTGTTCTCAAGTTATCGGACACTGGGCCTAAAGAGCGAGAAAAATTTCCAAGAGCGAAAAAATGCGACCATCCTCCGATATTTCGGAGTTTCCGTCGAAATTTCGAGATGAATATTCTCGACAATACTGATTCCAATATTTTACGGGGGACTCCACATTGTTTTAGGAGATTTCCAAATTCTGGAAAGCGAAAATAAATTATTTTAGGTGAAAGATAAAAAAATTTGGAAAAAAATCGAAATTTTAGAGGAGAAGTAAGAAATTTCCGCCAGATATTGACCATAAACACGGTGGAACGGCTCGCCACCGCCTCTGACTCAGAACACTCAGCCGTTTCGCTCTTCCGCTCCCCCAGTTTTGATAAATATTCACCCCAAATAATATCAAAAAATAATATCAAACCCGTATTAACCATTCCTCAATCGATCCGGCCAATAAAAACAAACCTGGCTATCAACAATCAGCCGTAGAATGGAGGCGAACGGGTTACAAACGCCTTGTTTGCACGAAGAATTTTCTGGGTCATTCGCGACCTGCGCCCGACATGAGGAAAGAAAAACATTATCATCGCGGCCGAAAAACCTCATTATACGATTTTATGGCCGGGAAAACAATGGAAGCGCATTACTCATAAGGGAAATCATTTTTTAGACCAATCCGGGTCGGACTGACTTCCAAAACAAACGGAATATTAATGTTGCTCATGATGAATATGAAAAGAATTGCAAAGCTTGCTACAATGCTATAAAAATAAACGAAATTTTGTTGCAAACGCCTCTCCCGAAATCAACAATGCATATCAGAAACGAAAGAATAATTAGGATCAATTTTATTTTTTTATTTATAGGTCTTCAAGATGTCAAAGTTCAATATAAAAAACAACTGATAGAAAGACCACCGAAGAAAAAAGGACGTCATGTAAAAAGTAAAGCTAATAACGCGGGTTCCTAGTTTGTAATCGGTTTTGAAATTCTTTACTTCTTCCGGAAGACATAGTACTTTTTCTGCGTCCCACAACGAAAACAAATAATGTCAGGAATACGGTAAAAGAGGATTTTTCTCCATTTTTTTGCGAAGTGGTGGAATTTTTACGTTGGTTTTCGGTACTTTTATACTTTTCTTGTAGATTTCGCATCCGTTTTATAATTTTATACAAATCTTGATATTATAGTTGACGTTCTTATTATTGCAGATCTTGGTTGGCCACACTCCCAGCACAAACCAACAAAAATGGCTGTCGGTGGAACGGTGAGTGAGACTCTGAGCGGATCGGGCGTAGATGGCAGGTTCTTCCGGAGCTTGTTTCTGCTGAGAAGAGTCTCTTGGAATGGACCCATCTTGACCGGCTGATCTGCTCCTTTAGGACCGAAAATAATGAATGGTTTTGTAGAAAAAATCCGTTGAGAACATCAACTCCCGCTTGGCTATGGTCACCAAGTCCGGAAAGTACTGTCTCGGATACAAACAGACCTTGAGAACTCTGCGCTCCGGCAAGGCTAAGCTGGTCATCATCAGCAGCAACACTCCAGCCATCAGGTAGTTATTTTTGGCTTGCTTTTTTTGACTTTTAGGCGTATTAGATAAAAAGTTGTACAAAAAATCCTACAAAGCGCTTTTGTACGATTTAGGCAATAGAAATGTGTCGAAGACCTTTTTAAATAAAACTTCTTACTCTTGAGGTGATAATAATCTCAAATTTTGCTTTTTTTTACCCAAAATCTTTTCAGACGCTCCGAGATTGAGTACTACGCCATGTTGTCCAAGACCGGAGTCCACGAGTACCACGGAAACAACATCGAGCTCGGAACCGCTTGCGGTAAACTCTTCCGAGTCTCCATGCTCTCCATCACCGACCCCGGAGACTCTGACATCATCCGTGTTATCCCCTCTGAATAAATAAGTTGTTGATTTATGGTTTATTAAAGTTTTTGTTGGATCTCATCTATTCGGCATTCAATTCGAAGTTATCAATCTAAATCACTGGTGTGTTGTAGAGAAATTGGAAGTATAAGTTCTATTTTATGCTGTGTTTGTTCGGTTTAGTGTCTCCTAAACTTTATCGGCCAATAGAATGGAATATCATGATGGTCGCCCATGTAAAGCTTGTGTCAGTGTTGAGGATATGATGAGAATGTCCAGGGAAGCTGCGAAAAAGAAGGGAATAGACATTAAGAATACAACACCGACAAAAACAGAAGTCCAGGGGAGACGAAAGGATTGTCCAGTAGATAAAGATGAGCTAGGGAGGTCCACATGGAATCTTCTTCACACAATGTCAGTGTATTATCCGGATGAACCGACTGCGACAGATAAAAAGGACATGAATGATACATTGACCGCATTATCAAAGGTATGCCCTTACTGTTTACTTTGTTGATTTTTAGAGCATCGAATAGATCCGTTCAATATAGTGATGACGTCATTTTAGACCTACCCTTGTCCTCCATGTGCCGAAGATCTCCGGAAAGATTTGAAAAAGAATCCCCCAAAGTTGGAAAGCCGGGATGCACTCTCCCAATGGATGTGTGAGATGCATAACCGGGTAAACCAAAAGCTCGGAAAAGAGAAATTCGATTGTACAAAAGTAATGGAACGATGGTATGATGGGTGGAAAGATGGATCCTGCGATTATTGATCTGATTTAATACGGAAATGTTCATTAGCGATGTCTAGACTGTTGTATTTTGTTTCCACGATAAAGTGAGTGATTTTTTTTTGTTGTTTGGTATCATAAGGGATCAAAAAATATTGTTTGAAGAAGATGGTGACAATCAAAATTAAGTTTACTGAAAATTTTTGTATTTTTTTCATCGGAAAAACAGAGGGTTTTTCATTAGAATCACATTTTTTCATACGGTCTTTCGTATGCATACAATTAATTACTTCTTCCCTCAAAATTATATGTTTGCCGAGATAGCCATGTCATACGTGACTTTTAATTAGTTTTCCTCCATTCTAATTAGCCATTGACGTCGGATATTCCATGTTTTGTAGAACGCTTCGAAACGTCTTGAAATTTCAAGTGCTTCATTACAACCAATTGCAAGTAAATTTACAAAATAATATTTTCTTTTTTGTATCCTTTTTTACTGTATTTGGCCGAGTTGATTATTTCCTAATATTTTCCTAATGTTATGTTTCTTTGACGGATTTCCATGAGAAAGGAGAAAAGTTGGCTAATCCTAATACCCTTTCCGCGATACCGTACCCGAAGAAAGGGGGTTTGAAGAGTTGGTGGGCTTAGAGGGTGGATGTAATTGTCACGGGTTACCATGCTTTGTGACGGAGTTTATCCCGATATCTCTTTGTGGCTAATCCAGAGAGAAAGAAGATAATCAGCGGTTGGGAGAGTTGTTATTGGATGCACTATAGTAGAATCTCGCAGTGGAAATCTGCATGGATCCGATTTTGATGGATTTTGGACGAAAATTTTCTAAAAAGAAGAGTGTTCGAAGTAAGAAGTTCTATTCTGTTTAAATTTTCATACATACATGTCATGTAAAAGTGATTCCGGTAAATTAAAAAAAAAAAATTTGGACCATGATGACCATGACACGCGTTTCTGCCATATCGAATTTTTTGTCCTGCAAAACGTACGTAGCCCAAGCGAATTAGGAATTTCGCATATGTCTTATTGTTCGATTTTTTTCCTTTGTGCCAAACTTTAGCAAAGTCTGAGAGTCGCACTTCTAGCACTTCCCCTATAAGATACAGATTTGAGCCAGTGCTTTATGACGTATAGACAGACATGAGATTTGTGGAGATGCAGATTGGATAATTATTTTTCATACTCAGGACCTCTGGCTAGTCTTTTTGGGCCTCATGGAAATTGCACAGAGTAAAACTCGACAGAAATAAATTGGACAGAGTGTGGAAATTTGACAGAGGGAAATTGGGAAGATTTGTTCAAAATGTCACCATTTAATTACTTTTTGCAGGAAAAAAGTCTGTCCAATTTCACCCTGCCCCATTTCCACACCGTGTCCAATTTAATTCTGTCGAGTTTCACTCTGTTCAATTTCCATGAAGTCTTCTTCTAACCAAGATATAAATTTTCCTAGCATCCCTCCAAAACTGAGGTAGCCTCTGACTATTTACTCATTTATACTGATTTATTTTTGGCTCTCCTTCAATAACAAACGTAGAGTTTGCTTTGATGACATGTACCTTCTCTTCCATAGCTCTTAGCCTTTGACTCCATGACCACAATTAAATGATAATCAGGTTTTTATAAGATAATCGAAGTTCCTTTTTAGTTTAGATTAAATGGTCTCTTATGCAATGTCATAATCATAGATATTTGTTTGCCGGGGATTCTGTAATGTGTCAGTTAAAAATCTCGTTAAAGGTACCTTGGAGACCTGATTTTGTGCCAATTTGTATGAAAAACTAGTTGTCGTTTTTTGAGCACTGTGCCTGTAAATTTTGTGGCAGTCAACTTAATATTATAAAAATATACAGCTTTTTGAATCAAATGAATGTCTGATATCTAAATTTTTGTGGATCTAAATACAACAAACTCCTTCTATAACAACCACAAATTTAAACTTTTGTAATTTGCTTCAAAGCTTGTATATTGCCGTTACTGCATTCTTTGCTCCCTCTGATCAGCTACAGTTTCTTTTCGATGACTATCAAATTTTTAATAATTGACCCGTTGAAACGTCTGCTCTTTGAATGTTCCCGCAGCTTTCCCCAATCGTTCTGTTTGAAGGCCCGTTCAGTTTTTTTTTTCTTTTTTTTCGAAAAGTCGAAGGAATTGAGAAAACCACGCGCTTTGCCAGAATTTCGAAAGTTCCGAGGGCGAGAATTCTTTGCTGCCCCTCAAGACTCTTGTATTTTATGCAGTTTTTATGGTAGTGTGTTTTTTGGGGGGAGGGAATTGGAGCAGAATTTACTGTAGGAAAAAAAGAAGAGGTCAAAATTCACTATGTTCGTATTAAAAATCTTTGTTGTATTGAGGGTTTTGAAAGCCTTTGGTGAATTTTTGGTTACGTAAAAGTTCCAATACAGGTTTAATTTTTTATCCTAAAATTTCGTTTTTCCATTACCGTCTCTTTTTCTCTCCATTCCCCTTCCAAGGATGATGCAATTGGTGCTAGGAAATGGAGAGAAGACGGGTTTGTGGCATAGATGAATGGAGGTGGAAAAAGGAACGGCAAAAGAAATGGGTTGGAAGTTGAACAAAATGGTGTGGAAGAAATATTTGTTTAGAGGATCTCAGCTGCACTAAAAGGTTTTGAATTTGATAGGTATGGCCATCGATAAAGACGGTAGCAAATGGCGAATTGTGAGAGATTACACAAAGCGAGGAGGTTCCGTCTGACGAAAAAAATCTCCTTTTTTTGGTCTATCGTCAACCAACAGCCAATACATCCGATTTTATAGCCCATACTAGGCCTAAAAATCCCAGCAGTTTTTGTAAACCTCAAGTGAGAAATCTGACAAATTCCAAGAGCCTAGGCTAAATTCGGGTAAAGTTTTATCAAAGTCTGAGCCTTTGAAGCAAATCGCTTGCAAAAAACAACCCTTCTAATATTAAAATCTCCCACATTTTTTGGCCCCACTCTCCTTTTATGCACGTTTTTTCACATTCCATTTGCTCTTTTGGCCTTTGCGTTTAAATTTACCTCCTGTCCCAATCTCCCTAAATTAATGGGTCCTCCAGAGTTCTTCAATCCTCTCTCGGATATTTATTTTGGAAGGTCTCTCAAGAAAGAAGCACTTAGATTAATCAATTGCTACTGTAATTGCCGAGAGGTGTTCCATGGTCGTTTTTGTAGAACCCATTAGTCATCGTTCCCCCTCCTTTTTACCTGTAATCTAAAAGACATTTTCCTGGTTAATCTAAGAGGTTTTCTTCTGCCATATAACTTGCCCATCGCTCTATTTACCAAACATTTTCCGGAGATGCACTTTGAGGACAAATAGCTCCTGATATTGTTGTAAACATCAGGTCATTCTGATGAAATTTATCTATACTTTGTCGTCAGACCAGAGTCATCAATGATCTTATGGTGCTGGCCGGAAGAAAAAGTCATTCATGTGGAGTTGTTGTCTTCGAAAAGGGCATTTTTCGCAATTTTTTATGTTCTCTGTTTTCCCAGACAAATTGAAAGGGAAATCAATAAAAACAAAATTTATTTAGTGGATCCTGTCTGCAGCAGATGCCTTGGCAACTTTGTCTCTTAATTTTTAGCTTTTGTTTTTCTCGCGTTGCAAGGGCAGCTGAAATATTCAACGATTTTTGCAGAAAAAATACGAACATTGGGAAAGAAGGGTTTGATAGCTTGTGAATTGTTTACGAAAAAAATCAAGCCTTTGCAGAAACACTGTACTTCAATCTTCAAGCAGATCTTTTACTCGGAAAAATTCAGAAAACGTGATTGAACTTCGGTCATTTTTGACCTAAAAATATCGATGGTTTTTGCAAAAAAAGGCCTTGTATGGGTCGTTGAAAATTTGAAAATCCTAATCTGAACTTTTCCAAGCTTAATTGATGTCTGGATATAAAATTTCGAAAAAATTTAAGTCATCAAAAATTCACCTTGGTCCCCCCTTACCTTTTTTTCTTCGTCCCCAAGAAGAAAAAAGGCTGGGTAATGCCCAGTAAAAATTTTATAATAGAGAAGTAAGACTCTGTAATGCCATCCTCCCAACTTTTATCCCCGTTCTACACCAAAAGTGCCCCCTTATATCCATCTCTCCCCTTACCGTACGACGCTGTGGGATTGACCCGAAAATTCTTGCGAAATATTTTTTTGGGCCAAGTCCCGGTCGTTTTGTGGTGTTTTGAAATTCGCCTTTACGGCTCGTCGCAGTGGGCAGAGGAGGGAAATAGACCGAGGCTTTTCGCGTAATTCGTTATTTTCGCCGGGTTTCCGTGCTTTTCGTAAAAAGGCGATTTCGTAAGCTTTTTCGCGATTAATTTTCCCAATTTTTGCGGGGTGTTTCTCGAATGGAGGTTACTGTAATCTCCTGTCCATTATCCGAAAATTGGGCCACTACAAACTTGGCGTATAACGAGAAATTTCGGTTGTTTTAAAACGAGATTTTTTGATTTTCCCAACAACAGTTCTGCTACCAATATGTTTGTGATTTGTTGTGTATATCTTTCGTTCTATTTGGACTGTCTTCCCGAACAAATATAGAACATTCCAGCCCGCATTTCGCAACCCTTTTCCATGCGTCCGCCGATTTTTTGTCGCTCTTTAAAAGTCTACGTGTATTCCCGTTTTTGACTCATCAACCTGAAGCCATAAACGACCAATTTCATCATCCTTTCCCGATCACCGCCTCGCCCCCTGAACCCTTGTGCTTTTGCCTGCGGGCCCGGTTTTTTTGGCGTTCCGTTTTCCCATTTTTCTCTAATTTCCCCCAATGTTTTCACTGATTATTCCTCCCTTTCTCGAGCCCCCAACGTTCCTGCCAACGCGCTGTCAGCCGTTTCGGGCGTTCTCTTCGGGTTTCACGTGTTTCTCTCGCCCCGAAATTCTGACGCCTCCTCCATTCCTCCGATTGTTCGCAGCGCTTTTTGTCGGAGCGTTTTCGAAATCGTGGGGCTCATAAAAAATGGAAGAAAAATTGAGAAATTCGTTTTTCTTTCGTCACTCTTTTCGTTCGCCATAGCCGCGATAGCAAAGTGCAGAGATAATTTCTCCGCTCTACCTTCACTCCATCTCCTACTGTCTCGGCCGCTCCCTATCAGCAATCGCTTTCCGCAAAGGCCCGGTCGGAAAACCCGGCCCAAAAGAAACGATGTAGTGCGTATGAAAATCTGATGTATTCAAAAACAAACACAATATAAGCGTATGCGCACGCGGAGAGGGGCGAACCATGGGGTTGCGGTGACGCCTCTTCCAGCATGGAACGATAGAGTGTGCGAGCGAAAGGAGAGAGAGAGGAAAATGGCGAACACGAACGTTTTTTTAAAGGGACTATCAATTGTTGTCGTTTTGTCCGCAGTCTATAGGAATTTTTTGGAGAAACAAGTGATTCTGGCTACTCTCTAGCGCCTCTGACAATCTGACGCCCCAATTTTGGTCCCATTGGTCTCTCTCGCTCTCTAAAGGCCGCCAAAAGCATGTGAATCCCATTTGTCTGCCCCCTCTGCTGGAGAAAGTCCTATATCGTTGGGAGTTTCGATGCATGAGCATTTCACGTTGAACGCTCTCTAGTTTCTTCTAAAATCGCTGTAAATCCTCATGTCTCCCATGGTTTTCTTTGCTATTTTTTGGAGCATCTCTGCCTGCTCTCTTCTCGCACCTCAAACTCTCTTTTCTTTGTTTATTTATTTTTTACGACCACTAACTCTCTGTGCACTCTCTTCGCCGCAAAAGGAGAAATCCGTTTCTCTCCTTTTCTCTCACCTTTCCTTCTCTCGCTCAAAAAAGCCTTTTCTCTCTCTTTCTCTCGCCCTTTCTCCCCTCTCGCCGCCCTCTGTCTCCCCCGCAGCCCCGCCGCCCGACTTCCAGCCGCCCCTCGCCGAAGCGGCGGCGATGGAAGCGAGAGAGTCGGGGTTGGTCGCAACACACCCTTCCCTCGTCTCTTCCCCCCTGCCTTCCATCTCCCAACTCCTCGGTGCATATTGACGATGGATGCACTCCGGGCCCGTTGTCGGAATCCGCAAGTCGGGAGTGGGGAGAAATCCCGCCCGTCGATTCTCGGCATTCCCACCGCCAACTTGGCCGTGAATTCGACCGGTTGGGCCGCTATATTCTCTTGTTTGTTTTGTTTTGAAATCGCCGGGAAAAAATCAATGGAATTGGCGTGCTATTGGAATCTGATTTGCAATTTGATTATTTTGTCCAAAACGAATGTTATTTTATGCTAATTGGAGAGATTTTGGTCTATTATTGATTCCGCATTATTGTTCCAGCTATTTTGAATATTTTTTATTTGAAATTTATGTAATTTACAATACAGTAGAACTTACTGTACAGCGAGGAGAAAGGGATCAAAAAATTGCTCACTAGATTTATTCATAGGCTATTTCAGGCTAAATTTATTTTTTCGTCCGCTAAATTAGCGAAAATTTTTAGTGTAAAAATCCTCGCTACACAGATAGTCTACTGTAAATTTTATTGTATTACCGTATTTCGTAATGTTTTTTTTTATTTTAAAAATTTTTATAACGAATTTGTACGAAATGTAGGTACGACGTAGAGGCAGAGCGACTCGGCGTTCGTTTCCATCACACATTTTTTCCCTCCCCCAACACAGACCTCACATCGACCATGATGGCACGCTTCTGAGGACGCGCTACCGGGCTCCCCCCGCCAACGCACTGATCCCCCGCCAACCCAACTGGCGCCCAGGATCAACTTTTGGTGTGTGTGTGAAACTGATAGTGTTAGAGGTGTGAAAGAGACCGCTACAACAGCACGAGACCCGTCAACTTGACGTGCTCGTGACATCGTCGTATCTTCTTCACACAACTGGCTACTGTCGGCCCTTCGTGATTTTTCAATTCCCAGCGTCTCGACTGTTCGAGGACGAAGCCCGCGCTTATCATACAATCCCCCCGCCACAACAAACTGTATTTTTCTTCGACCCTGTTCCCAACACTAGTAATCACGGCGTCGTCTACCGCACCGCCGTTACGCAATATCTTCGCCACTTCGAGAGAGAGCCCGCGCCATTGGACCCTAGTTTGGTGAGTTGAAGGTTTTTTGATTATTGAGTCTTTAAGTGATAGGGAGTCGAGGAAAAGGGCTGGGATTCCGGCTAATCCAAATCCAACACAGAGGATTTAAAGATTTATAGGCCATTAGGAGTCATTAGAAACGGAAATGAGCCTCTGTGTAACACATTACCAGCAAATATTGGCCTAAAATTAATCCTAAGGACCTTAAAATCATTTGCCAGAGATTTGAATAGACTATCAATATTTGAATGACTACACATATTGCACAAAATTACGAAACAATTAGATAACTCTACCTCCAATTTCATTCGAAATTCAAACTATGTTTCTGTCATATGGTAAGCGAAAAAATTACCGCACAAATTTTCTGAATGTCATGCTCCTACAATACTATTTACAAACTTTTGATTTCCCAATATAAACAGAGAGAATTATAGTTGTACTAGCAACAGATTTCGTAAAACATCACCGGTTCCTTGTTTTGCCCCGGTAATTGATGTAATAGGCACTTTTGATCGCTTACAATTTGATAATAAGCACTTTCGTGATGGTATATTACTGTATAGCCGGCTAAGTGCATTAGGATTTGCATAAAACGGAGTCGGAAGGCTTTACGAAACATCAGAGTCCAAAAACGGAAAATTTTGAAAATAAATTTTGTGGTTTAGAGAAGGCACAATTATATTGTGCTCTAAAATCTCCGAAAAGGATGTAGATTACTGTAGATGCGAGAAATTTGAGAAATTTGTGGAAGAGTTTGATTATGCTAGGGTAAAATGATAATTTTTGGGGAATAAGGCAAGTACAACGTAAGAAATAATGAATCTAAAACTTCTACTGGCAGTTTTAAACGAACTGTTTTTTCAACGGCAGCAAAAATTTTGGTACTTTGAAATTTCAACAAGTCCCATTGTCCACCCTACAAGCCTACTCGGCATCAAAGAGTCTGCCATAGATCACCACTCACAATCATAGATAACCTCCCCGGACCGTAGTACAATTCACTTTCGAAATCTACCATCCCTGTTTACCAGTGGTTGCACATGCAGAATCGAAAAATTGCACCCTCACGGGGTGGGTGTCCCCGTGCCTTTTTCCTCCACTTCCCGATTTCTTCATCGAAGACCCCGGAAAAAAGAAGGGGAGACGATTTCGCAAGCCCCCCATTCAGTCGGTCGTTTCGGGGGCTTTCTCGTGTTTTTCGCCTCTCCCCCAGAGCATGCACGTTCCCTGTGTTTCGAAACGATCGTTGGGGGAAAGCGAGTCGAGCTTGGAGCGATCGGCCCGCTCGTTTTGGGGGACAACTATAAATAGAGGAAAAGGGAACGATTCGGCATGGCCTGGAGAGTGTTACAGTAACCTGTAATGGTCTGTTGGGGTTTCGGTAGGATTTGAATTTACTGTAGATTATTTATGTAGAAAATTGGTACCTAAATTTACTTGTTTTAGAGATTATTTATGTTAAAAACCTAATTTTTTGCCAAAATATCTCTCAAAATCGAAAATCTTCAAAAATTTTTCGTTATAGGAAGCGTTCGTTATACAAGAACTTTTCTCTGCGAATTTTTGGATGCTTTAGATGCAGTTTTTTTTATAAGATCCTACAAAAACCAATCATGACCTTTTGTGGTGGCCTTTTTTTATTACACTAGACACTTGAACGACGCTATTAGTAACAGCTCAAGTCTTAAGACTAATTATAACCACAAACTTAAAGCGTTACTCATCTTTTCCGCATTGAAATTTCGTAAAAATTTCAATTTTTTTGCATTATCATTTTTTTACGGCATAGACACGAATTTATATAATAAAAACCATTTCCAATAGCTTTCATCATGGGAAAACTTGCGAAATCGCTCGCAATATGATGACTCGCACTTAGGCTTGCTTTAGGCTGGAGTTTCGTCTGGGTTTCGTAAGGAGAATGAGTTATACGGAAAGGGAAAAAGAAATAGTCATCGTGTTGAAAGAGGGACTAGGTCAGTGGGTGGTGTAAAAGTTACGGGCCTAAGGTCATTTTATAATTTATTTCGCATTCCATTGGGGCCTTTACATAATGAAGTTTGAAGAACGAATTTTGTTTTGATGGAGAAAATTTTTGGAGTTATGTTTTTGTCTTTAAACTAAGTTATGGACCGCTGAACTGGTTCGCAAAAGAACGGTTCCACAATTTTACGTAATATCGCGAAGTATTGCCTAGTATTATATAACACAACCTAAGCTATAGCAACGTTGTTTCAAGATGATTTTTGAGAATCAAGCCACTCAAAATTATTTTTTACCCACTGCAAATCACACCATTAATTGTAGGCATGTTTTCAGAAATGTCTTTGGAAGTGTTGGTGGATGATGACTCTTCCTCCTCTTCTTCCTCCTCCTCCTCCTCGGCCTCGTCGCCGTCCACCTCCTCCTCCACGGCCGCTCAAACTGTCGTTGATCAGCCTTGCTCATCCCGACCCCGGCAGACCCGCAAACGTCGATTCGTTGGCGCGGCGCTAAGCCGCATCAACTTCGGCAACTCCAGCTCATCGCTGACGGCGAGCCAGAACGAAACCGGCTCCTCGAACAGCCTGAACTCGGTGGGCTTGAGCTCGAGTTCGTCGGGGTCGGAGGACGAAAGCACCATTGATGAGAGTAACGACAAACGCATCCGGCTAAGTTCATCGTCGTCGGTGGGTTCGCAGGAATCCAACGGACGTGCCACCTCTGTCAGCCCATCCCCCGAGACTGTCTGCTATGACATCGCGGATCTGGAATGCAGCCAGGGAAGTCAGGTACGTATGTTTGAGTATTATATTATACTTGCTTTTAGTGGAAAACTTTCGACCGAGTTGCTGCATAATTTGCTCCAAATTGGTCCATGTAAAATAAATTATTTATAAAAATATTTAAAATTTAAATAATTTATATTAACATAACTTTTTTAAAAAAAAATATGTAATAATTTTTATATTTATAAAAATTTTTAAATAATTAAAATTATTTTTATTTATAAAAAAAAATAAAAAATTTCCGTATCGCTTGAAGAAAAGCTCCAAATTATAATATTTTATCCATGTCACGTCACGCCATGGAAAATATAAATTCGCTGCCTAAGCCCCGTCTCTGACGTCCCAATCCCTTTCCAGAGATCCAATCCGTTCCCCAAGGACTCGTTGATCGGTGACGGTGAATACGAATTGATCGGTGACGGCAAAGAATGCCAGGCAGTTCATTTGCCCACCAAGACCATCCACAATTGTCGCGTGCTGAACGACGAGGAGTACAAGGCGTTCATGGTGATCGCCGAACGCCTCGAAATGGCCGAGCAAAAGCTGCACGCGGAGGAAGCGGCCGAACTCAGGTGCGCCCCCTAACCAGCAACCAAAACGAACTCGATTTTTAGACGAATCCTGTTGCCAAAGGAGACCCGGATCATTAGCGGAAGGCATTTGCATTATGTGATCTCGCCGAATCACGACGGCAATCTGCAGACCTACTTCACCATGCACAAGGAGGAGCAGAAGTTGAGCGAGCTGCAGTCTCGCGCAATCTTCGCCCAAATGGTACGCATGGTGCAGAATTGTCATCAGATTGGTGTGTATTTCCGCGACTTCATGCTCAAGAAGATTGTGTTCACCGACAAAGACTCGTAAGTGAATTTTCGTTGGACTGTTTCTTCTCTCTTTAGAGTAAAACGCTATAAACGGGATGGTTTTAGAGGCTTTTGAAGGCTCTGTCAGCAAAATAAAGCCTAGTTAAAGTATCTTAAATGATTTTTTGAAACTACATCATTCAGATTTTCTTCAAATGTTGCGTACATTTCAATTTGTAAATTTTTTAGCCCTTTCTCAGCCATTTTAGAACAGCGGAGCAGAAATTTTTTTAGTCAAAATCTGAACGCTTCCGAAAAAAAAATCAAAAAATTGGCGGGAAATTCAAATTTCAAATCCTTCAATAATTCAAAATTCAGTCTAGAATTTTTAAACCCATAATTTGACTGATAACAGCAATTTCTCAGTCTTATTTTTTTAATCCTTCAAAGTTTACGTCAGCATTTTCTAATCAAAAAATTTCGAAAATCCAACTTTTCAAATTTTACTACAGTAAAAAGGCGACAAAAATTGCGCCACGGTTAGCTGAGTTATTACACCCTGGGTGTTTACGGAAAGCCCTATCAATTTCGTTGATCTGTTTAGTGACCTTCAGCAGTTTTTCGAACGTTTCCTTCTATCTCTCCCTATCTGTTCCCCATTGTTGTTTTTTTTTCTTGCGGAAAGCACGAGACCAGCAGCGATCGCTTCCTTTTAACAGGCCATTAAATTTGACAAACGAAGTAGAAAAAAAGGAAAAGGCGAAAGATTGAGAAATAAAATACACGTAATTATAATGTACAAGTTTGAGAAATGTTACGCCAAAAATGAAATCCGCATTATAAGTTTGGAAATTTTTGTTATGGCCAAAGTTTTTAATCCTATTTGGTAATGAAATTACAGGGCCTTTAGAATTAGTTTTGAAATTGCAAAAGCACTCGCTGCATTTGTATCGAAATTACGGAAAAATTCTCGAAAACAAAATCTTTGCAAAGTAGAAATACTGTCTATGCTCCTGTCTGCAAGATATATGAACATTTTGTTGATATACCTCGTTCAGAGTGACTTAAACTTGGCGTCAAATGTGTCTGGCGGACGCCGCAGCCAATTCCTCAAGACGTCTCGACGCTCTTCGGCAGAATTCACCGCACCGGTCGGCCTAAGGGTCTGTGGGGTGATAGTTCGGCTAGCTGGGTAGCTAGACTGTTTACTGCTAGAGTATTGTAATTATTACTTGACATGTGTAATAATACAGTCTGTAATTACTAGCTAAATTAATGCCAAGATAGCCACTAAACTCTCTATAATAGCCCTATAGGCATCTATACCGCAATTCTAACAGGACCGTCAATTTCAGCCTGAATATCCGGTTCATGTTCAGTATCCATGATCTCCAAGTTCTGCCCGACCTTGCTAGAGATGAGGTTCATCTGCGCAAGGGTTGTTGTCCTGCCTACACTGCACCCGAGATGCTGCCCGCACCCAACTCCAAGCACCACACTTATCGTGCTGGACCCGCTAATGTGTGGTCCTTGGGCGTCCTTCTCTACACGCTGGTCACTGGCCGCGCTCCCTTCATCATGGCCAGATGTCCGCGCGACCTGTTCCGGCTGATCAAGCAGAGCAAAGTGACGTTCCAACCCAAGGATCGCGTCTCGTGGTCGTGCAAACTGTTGTTGTATTCGTTGCTGCGAGCCCAGCCCTCGGAACGGCCCAAGCCTGAGGAAATCGCGGCTTCGGAATGGGTCCGAAAGACCAGCGAAAGCAGCGCCGTCAACTTTGGGCTCCAGCTGCGGTTGTCCGCTTTCGAGACACCAATTGCCGCACCCGTCGGGCATTTGTTGCGTCGCCCGGCCAACGAGAGAGATGCGGCCTACAGAAGCGGTGGAGAGTACCGAACCCAGGTACACTCGTTGTTGAAACGACACGCGGTGAGTTTTGATGGTAAACGCGTTCGATTGTGAGCATGTTTTCACCGATCCGAACGGGGGGTTTAGTTGATAAAAAGGTCGCAAAAGAGCTCAGAGTTTCGATCTCTTTTTCGACCTTTTCTCGACTGAAACCAGTTCAGGACTGCTCCTTTACAGTGACGGACCCGATTCAGAGGCAAAAACGTACCATTTCGCAAACGGGAAGCATCAAAAATGTGGCAAAATGCTTCCCTCTCCAAGTGAAAAAACTTCGAAGGGCGCTTTGCCTCACGGAAAAAGCTGGCGTGCTTTTGAAATCGAAGTTTTTTCGCTTGGAGAAGGAAGCGTTTTGCCACATTTTTGATCCTTCCCGGATGCAAAATGGCACATTTTTTGCCACTGAATCAGGTCCCCCACTGTAATCGTCCAATTTATTTCAAGTGTCATGAAATTTGCTACGCTCCATCCATATTTATTTCCCATTTTTTTCAGGACCAAATGCTCCTTCGAGCGGTTCCCGAGCAGGTCGTCCCTGACTTTTCCGGCGACTCCATGCCCGATTCTATGGGGCTGAGTGTGGTCGCATGATTTCGGCCGTTCTTTGGGGCCGCCGTCTCGGTACAATCAACGGTTTTCGGGTCAAAATTTTTTTCCCCCAATCTCGAAGTGGACCAACGAAGATTTTTTTTATTTTTTTTTTACTTTTTTTTAATTTTGATTGTATTTTTATTCGAATTCTCTTCTGTCATCGAATAGTTTTAGTCTCTTTCCGGACAGTCAGACTTCTAGACTCTCTTCTCTCGACATTATCCATGGCCAAAAACGTCTCCGAAAAAGACGCCTGGTCATTTCTAATATCAGAGTGTACATATAGTATGAAAAAGCCCCAAAAAATTGTAAATAGTGCCACTAGCGCCTACATAAATTATTTTACAACTCGATTCCCGTAGCCCGCACTCAACTATATGCTTCGTTCGGGCGGTTTCCGGGACGATTTCGCCCTCCGGTCAAGGCTGGAGATGTGTCTCGAGTAATCTGGCTATTATTCTTGGCCTCAAGGGCTGTTTAAGCGGCCGGCACTCAAAACCCGTTCTGTTTTACTCATCAAACCTTCCAAGTACAAATGCCCCGTCTGATTCGACCAGAATTTGGTTTTAAACCGGGATTTTTTCGAATTTATTCGACTAAAACTCTAATCTTCTCTGATTTTAAGGTCCAATTTCGACCAAGATTCAATTTTGAACTATCTGAAATCAATTTTTCCGGCTTGAAATTCAATTTTTAGCGAAAAAACAAAACGATTTCCCCAAAAAAATTGTTGAATTCGTTGATTTTGATCCAAATTTCTATCTAAAGTAAGGTCCCACAAGCCGAGCCAACGTCGAATCGCCCCCTCCCATCCAATTTTATCGCGTTTTCCGTGATCTTCTACTCATTTTTTTTTAATCCCTCAACCGAATATGAAAATCCAACAGAATTAGAACAGAAATAGAGCGGAAAGAGAAGAGACAGCAGAGAAAAAAAGGAAACATTGCACAAAACATTTGACATTTATTGTTTCGAGATATTGCTGTGAGTGTTGGACAATAAAAATTGACAGACAATTCGGCATTTATTTGAAGAGGAAACTAGGAAATTAATGGTCGGAAAAACATCCTGTTTTTAGTGGGGGAAATGTCAAAAAGGGGGTACAAAAAAGAATAGAAATGCAACAAATCGCAGGACACTCAAGAACTCACTTCGTTACAGCGGATATTTCGTCCTATAAAGACTACAGTAGGGGTTGGCATAGGGACAAAATTTTCGTTTTCATTGAAGGTTTACCTAGAAACGAACAGTTTTAATGCGTTCGCGGTTAACTTTGCGACTAAAGTTACAGTGAGGGACCTGATCCAGTGGCAAAAAGCGTACCATTTTGCATCCGGGAAGTATCGAAATGTGGCAAAATACCTCCCTCTCCAAATGAAAAAAAAAACTCCGATTCCCAAATCGCGCCCGCTGTTTTGTGAGGGAAACGCGCCCTTCAGACCGGAGTTTTTTTTCAGTTGGAGAGAGAGGTATTTTGCCACATTTTTGATAGTTCCCAGATGTAAAATGGCACGTTTTTTGCCACTGGATCAGGTACTCTACTGTAACTTTAGTCTCATAGTTAACCGCGAAAGGATTAAATCTGTTCGTTTCTAGGTAAATCTTGAATGAAAACGAAATTTTCGTTCGTTTGCTAAACTGAATAACACCAAACCGCTTCTAGTCGATAAACAGCTCAAAAAATACATGAATAACCCTTAAAACTGTTATGCAAGTTCCCCAGCAGCAAAGACATGCTGATTTTGAAAAGAAAAAGTCGGGGATAACCTTTGAAACCTTTTTCGAGACCTCCAATCAAAACGAAGACACCTCGCTCTTCAAAACCAACAGTCTTTTTAGCCTCTGGGAAACGTTTTGAGCAAATTTTGGCTCGTTTTCACCAATTCTTCAGCCATTTTGTCACATTCAAACATTCGTCGAGGCCCCGAAAGAGATCCGCTGATATTTCAAACTGATCTCGAACCAATTTTTATGTGCCTATGATACTTTTTGATACCTTTTTTGATATCGGTTTGCCGTCTTTTTCGACCACTTGTCGCATAAAATTTCCGAAAGGGAGACCGCGTATTTTACAAAAAAAATCGATTCCAACTCTAACACAACAACTCTCCACCAAGAAAATTCTGTCTTTCATAAAAATGCCAGCTTTTAAGACACACCGGACCTCAAATGAAACCCACAAGAACATATAAAAACAGCACCAAATACATCCACAACATCAAAGATACATTACCAGCTTAAACAAACATTATAACCAACACAAATCTCCGCCAAAAAATTCTAAGTAAACCTCTGTTTATTTTAAATAAATATAAATTAATTTTTGTTTCTACAGGAATCACAGATTATGCAGCACAACAACTGGAGTGCGTACAAAAGCACTTTAAGTCATTTTCCTGAGCACCCGAGTCGACGAATAAATTAAGGAGTCCACCAGGCTGGCCACCGTGTAAACTCCGCCAATTATTGCACATAACGAAACGAGGAATTGGGAGAGCGCTCTAGAAATCGAAATTTAGAAATTTTTGGACAGAAAAAAGAGTATAATTAGAATCAATGAGGCTTATTTTGATCTATTTTTGACAGTTTTATTGACCGGAATCAATGTGGCACTGAAAAACCAAGTCTCAAAAATGAATGATCTTACGGGAAAATCATTTAGGTTGGTTTTTCAACCAGCTAAATCGCAATTTTATGGCCAAAATAGACCATTAAGCAACGTGTCTTTTCATAATCAAAAATTTTTTCCATCACCTTGATTTTTTTCAGATTAAAGCTTCGTCCTTCCAAATTCTTGTCCCTAAATTTCCAGAACAAAAAATAAAACCACAACTCACTGTTTTCTTTCCTCATACTTGACCAACAACGGCGAGAACGAGTATTGAACAAAGATCCCGGGCAAACCCGGCTGCCCACTCGTAATGTCCTTTGTATTTCTTGTCACACTGAACTGATAGCTGTACTCTTCCACTCCGGGCTTGGTGACGCCATACACAAACATAGTTGGGACCACTTTGACGAAATATTGATGCATTATTCCGCCTTTCGGACTAATAAATGTTAGGCCATTCAGAGGATAATCTTTTCCTGGGTAGGGCTTGCCAAATGAGAGTTTATTGATGGTGTGGGTGGTGTCGAAAGATCCGGCAGACATTGAATGGAGGTCGTGGACTAAAAATAGATCAAAGTTTAGATGAAAACTCAAAAAATTTCGAATAACAAAATCTGAAAAAATTAGGTAAACTTTTTAGCAAATTTTTTTTTATTTTCTTTGTTATAGGTCACATTTGTTTCAATGAGGCCAATTTCATCCTAAAACTGCTAACAGACGCGTCTAAGACTAATAATTTACAAGCTCCCACATTAATTTATATTACACTAGACTTACAATGAGTTCGTTGAGCCGAAACTGACGAACCTGGAGCAATATGGAAGTTTCCTTCGACCTAAAAACAAATCATATGATTTACAACCTTTCAGGTAAACCCTCACCTTCGCAACATCGACATGCCCATAAATTCGACATCCTTCATCCTTATGCTTCGTCATTTCTTGGACAAATTCATCATTTTTACATTGTTCAATTGCTGTGATATCATCGATAGTCCATCCTCGGATTTCATAGGCCTGTTTGACGTCATCACAAGTATTACAACATCTAAACTTAAAAGAATGATATTTTAAATTGTTCTCTTACCCATCCGCAGCACCATAGCAACTGCCACAAAGGGGCTCTTTGGTCGCCGGAGCGAGATCTTTCGTGCCGTTGACATTTATACCTGTAAACCAATCATGAGATTATTAACCTTTGAAACAAAAAAATGGGGAAAAACTGGATGGAAATATCAACCAGATAAATAACAAAGCCCACTACATCAATTAAAAAAATAAAGTATACCTAAAATTGACAAAAACAATAACCTTAACCATTACCTTGCTTGATCGGCGCGGCACCTGTAATATTCTGCCCATCCTTATCCAGCCTCAACTTGAAAATGTCATCCTTGACGTCATGTTGACTAGCACCACCCACATCCATCACATCGATGGTCAGAAAAGCACATGGTAATTTGGGAAACGTGATATCAAAGTGAATGTCCACCCTCAAATCAGCGCTCGTCGAATCCACATAGAGCTCTTCAACAATTTGCACTGTGAAGTAGTTGATCGATTCGCCAAGAAACAATAGAAAGATCACAGCAAAGCTGATTATTGACACTGAAATCAAAAGATATTGTTTTAGGTATGGCAATAAAACAGAATCGAACATTTCAATGTCTAAAACCTTCAAATGAGCGGTGAAACTAATTTTATCTCTATTCCTATTGATCGAAGGACCTAAACCATGAACAATCAAGTAAAACTGCCAACTCACCAACTCCTCCAAACGAAGTTTTCACTCTGAAGTCGTCCAAAGGCTTTGAATAAACGTCAAAGCGGCTAAAGTCGCTCAAACTCATTTTCAATCCTCGGAATTAATCCAGCTGACACGACATTGCACTCCAACAGCGCGTAGACGTTTCTTCCTTCAAATTTTATACAATTTATTAATTCTCGAACTGCGCCCGAGCTTTGCAGTCTGCAAAATTGAGATTTCGCAGAATGCGCCCAAAATTGATGAAGAAAAATGTTTCTCTGCTCGGTTGTGTTGTAACTGTTGAGGCTTGAAGTATTCATGGCCGAATTTCTGAATCTCGGAGCTAATTGCGATCTGGAACAATGCCGGAAATTGGATTACACTCCTTTCACCTGTTTCAAATGTAAAAAGATCTTCTGGTACGAAAACTACTCGTTTATCATTTACAGGGGAAGTACTTCAAGTGTGACGCTCAGATTTTCTTTAAAATTTGCACACACGTCGGGTATGGACTAAATATCAATTCCTGAAAATTTTAGCTCGCGCTTTGCGGGCGCCGCCGAGATATCGAACGATTTTTGCCGCCGAGAGAGCACGCTCAACGTGGAGAGCGGTCAGAGAGAAAACCGTTTTTTGGCCATAACTTTGGCAGTTTGGTGCGGAAAAATTTGATTTTTTGTAGAAACGTTATCCTTTACAGTTGAAATAGGCATGAAACTTTTCGTGCCGAAATTCGGCAAAAAGTCCTAAAATTTCGCCGACTTTCGATCTAAAAATCTCGGTTGTTTCTGCAAAGCGCGAGCTAGGATTCCCGCATATATCTTAGAAAAAATTATTCTAAATTTGTGCCAAGTTTCATCAAAATCTGAGCGTCACACTTCAAGTACTTCCCTTGTTAGTTTGACGTTTAGTACAGCTCACAGACTTAACCATGGATGTGAAAACAACGAGGATCAGACGATTGCGGTGCCTAAAAATGCAAATGGAGAGTTTTTAAAATTTATTTGCTCCAAAAGTGGATGTACGAAGTCGGAGCTCTCCAAAATCGAATGTTCTCAGTGCGAAAGACATTTCTGCATGGAGTGAGTTGTTTAATCTTTCTTGTTTTTTGTTTTTCGAGGCTGAACATTGGCCGTTTGGATGTTGAAATAAAAAATTTTCTTTCAGCCATCGCCAATGTGAAGATCATGATTGTGAGGCTGTTTTGGAAGCTCAAAGGAACCAGAAAAGTCGGATTCGGGTGGTAACAGCTTCGGAAGTCAACATCAAAGCTCCGAAAAATGTGAGTTGAGCTGATTTTCGTGGTTTCAGTACCTACTTTGAGTTTAGAGGATGTCAGTGAAGTATAAGGTCCAAATTTCAAAAATAAACGGAATTTTTGCCTTCTCACACTCTGATTTTTAGTATTCCAACCCAGAACAGCAGAAACGAGCCGATAAGATTGCCATAATGCGTTTAAAATCCCAATCCAAATCTGATGTGGCCTCAATTTTTGTCTTTGCCAATTATAAAAAAGAGCGATTTCCCGTGATGCTTCCAAAAAATTGGACTGTAAATCGATGCCGAAGTGTGTTCGCCGAAAAAATCAAGTCCGAATCAGTCGAATCCGGGAAATTGAAGGTGTTTACGGCGGATGAAAAGGATGATTTGAAAGGAATTAAGTTGGATATAACGGTCGAAAGGCCTTCAAAGACTTGGAAGACGTCTATTTACTTGTGGAATAAAATATTTATGGCCTGGGCGATTGTCTGGATTTATTCGTAATATCCAAGGTGTGTGGAAAAGTTCAGGGTTCTAGGGAGCAATTTCATGGTTCCCCAACTTCATTCAAGCGGAAAGCCAATGACTCAAGACCTTGCAAGGAGTAAGACACCGTTTTTTCAAAACAGTTTGCAAAAATTCTCGGGGGTTTCTGGAGTTCATTTTGGCCCACGATTTCCCGGAAAATGTTTTTGTCGAATGCGTTTTCTTCCGTAAAGTTTCAAAGATTGTTGCTGTCGATGAGTGTCAAAAATTTTCTTCAAATTTCTTTCTGTTGTGCATTGGAATTCTTCGAAATTTAAACTTTTTATTTGTACCAGCCACCGAGAATTTTCCTTTTCCGAGAGAGCACGCAAAATTAGGAGGGTCCGCCAGAAAAAAATTGTTTTTTTTTCAGCTATAACTTTCTGAATTTAGGATGGAAAAAGTTGATTTTTAGTAGAAATGTTATAATCCGCATCTGTTATGGGCTAATTTTTTAGCCCATAACAGATCTAGGCTAATTTTTTAAGCCTGAAATCAAAAAAAAAATTTTTTTTGCAAACTTCCAGTCTAAAAATTTTGGTCATGTCTGCAAAGGTCATAGTAAAAAAATGTCGCTTATGTCTTAGAAAATCATAATTAAAATTTGGGCCAAGCTTTGTCGAAATCTGCGGGTTTTAGCTCTTTTTTCCGAGAGAGCATGCAAAAATAGGAGGGTCCGCCAGACGAATTTTTTTCAGCTATAACGCTCTGGGTTTAGTTGGGAAAAAGCTGATTTTTAGTAGAAATGTTATAATCCGCATCTATGATGTATGCTAATTTTTTCAAGCCTGAAAAAAAAATTTTTTTTTGCTAACTTCCAGTCTAAAAATTTTGGTCATGTCTGCAAAGGGCATAGTAAAAAAAGATGTCGCTTATGTCTTGGAAAGTCATGATCCAAATTTAGGCCAAGTTTTATCAAAATCTGCTTTCACATTGTCCCCTAAATTTGGAATTTTTCGATCAAGTTTTTTACAAATAGTTGTTTTTCTAATGGCCAAGAACTTCCCAACTTTCCCCCTCCAACTTTCTTCCTAGTTCTTTTTTTCCCTCCCCATTAATCCGGTTTATAACGGGCTCGGCACGAAAATCAAGCAGCATCTATCCCATTTGCGAAACCCAATCCCGTTCCACATCCGTAACGGCCTAATTGTCCGTCCATAATTAACTGCGCGCGCGCTCAGGAAGTCCTTTGGCCATAAAAGAATGGCCAGCCCCTGTTTCTGGATGTACTTGTTGGAGGCCGCTGTGGGCGGCCAAAACCATCGGAAAAACCTTTCGGACTTGCGGCAGAGGGAGGGCTGAAAAACTAGGTAAACTAATATTATACTTTACTGCGGTTTCGTTCTATTGGTCTGGAGGGGAACGGAGGGGGAGTTCGGCCAAAAAATGGGCAAGTTTTCGGGGGGAAATCGAGAATTTGGAATTTTATAAAATTTGTTTGTTGTTTTTGAGGTTTTTAGATTTTTGATAGCTCTGTGGAAAATGGACTTTATATGGTGTAAAAACCAGTATTTTATTTATGAAAATTGTTATGTAGTGGTATGTTTTAGCGAAAAATTATTGCTGGAAATCTATAGAATTTTGTGAGACGGGTGCCCACGGACGCTCAGATTTCGTTTAAACTTGTCTGATAGGCTTTGAAAAATTCAAATCTACATAAATTTAAGACATTTTCAACTTGCCTTCTTTAATTTCTGATGGTAAAAACAAGGTCGAGAATTGGTCAAATTTTTACTAATTTCAAAGCAAGGCATTCCTGATTTTCTTACGTAGTTTTTTAACTTTGTTTCATCACATATGCTAATGAACTTTTAGCTTCAACTTTTTATGTTTAGCCAAGATTTTCAACGGTCATTACAAATACGAGACTAGGCAAAATGAAGCAAGACAGTCAGAGAAAATCTTTATTTCATCATTTCTCTAGAGAAAATTCTAATTTGACCACTAATTTTATGCAAATTTCGAACTCAAAACCTCAGTGGTTCTTGCAAAGCACATGCTAAAAATCTCGTATTGGTCTTTGTAAAGTGTGATCTTTATTTATCCCAAGCTTCATCAAAATCTGTTCACCACAGATCAAGCAGTCCACTTGTAAATAATTTATTTGTCAGTTCCCTTGTTTTTAGCTGCTATTCCTCCCATCAAACAGCATTTTATAGCTGTGCTTTACAGATCCACCCCTATAAAAAAGTGCCGTCCATTTTACGACTATTTTTAGCTTCTCTAAAAAAGCTGCATTACATATGAAATGATATTGAATATCATTGTCAAAAGCTCTGTCGTTTTTCCCTCAAAAAATTTCCCTTTCATAAGCTCACCCTTTTTCTCACCCCCAGGCGAAATTCGCCCTCAAAAAAAACCGCAAAACCCTCATACTCCCGAGAACATTTGGTCTTCCTACGAACTTTTTATGTACCTTTTGGCACTTTGCTCAAGTCAATTCCTTCGCTTTTCTCGTCTGTCATGAAAAAAGTTTGTATTTCAGACGACAAAAACCCCCAAGGGGATTGAATTTGATTATATTACACATGGCCGCGAACTGAAGAAACGACAACAAAGACTCGCGGTCAGCCTCAGGGCTTTATGTGCAAATGTGGAGACAGCGAGCTCTGGCCATTCTTTGTGTGGCCACGGTTGTTGGATTAGGTGAGTTCTGGGGGTCAGTTGGTCAGAAAAGGCTTCGGAAATGGGGCTGAAGGTACGCTCATATTTTGCAAGGGGAGCAAGGAGGTCATGAGGAAGTTTGTCGTAGAATATGGTGGATTTCATGTGTTCAATTCTCGAAGAGAAGAAATCGAGGGTTTTCTGAAATCTTGGGTGTGGATATAAATGAACTACACTCTATTTCCTGAGAATCTTAGCTTGCACTTTAAGGATATACCCAGGACAGTCAACAACTTTTGCAGACTAGACATAGCCGGAAATGTGGAAATACGGTGGAGGAAAAGGTCTCTGGCTATATCGCTCTGTAGTCTGAACTAGGTATGACTCTCGGACTGGGCAAATTTGAGACGGACCGGGCCGATCTCTTCCTGGGGCCAGGAAAAACTGGTTAAGCATGCTGCTCAGACCATGTCCGCCATCACCCATAAAGTAAAAAAGACGCAAGGCCAGGAACGAGCCTGTTTTCCCGATTTTATGCGGTCTGCGAAATGGCCGCCTACTCGCCGGATCTAAATCCGGTGGACTAAATTTTTTTCTCAATTCTAAACCAGTACCTGTACTTCACGCCACAAGACTTTGGAGCCGCTAAGTGATCGCTGCGCCAAGAGCGGGACCGATTTCCCCAAAAAAAGCTTTGGCGGATCGCCCAAAATTTAAAATCAATTTTGGAGCTCTATCTCGGCGCCAAGAGCAGCTACCTTAAAACTGGCTGAACATAATATTAACAATACTCTATGTTACTCATATTCACCGTTACTTTAATTGAGTTCGGGGTTTTAGACAGAATATGGCTATAAATATGAGTTGCATTTTTTCTTTGTCCCTGTAAAAATCAGGCAACTTTGGACCGGAAAATCTTAAAAATGGATTTTGAAATTTATCCTTTTTATGATGTAATATACAGTATAATATTATTACACATATAATCCTTGTTTTCAGTCGCCTCAGAGAACGTGAAATGGGTCCAACTGGAGCAACACACCGATGACTTCCCCTTCGACGAAGATGCCGCCCTCAAAGCCGAAGCCGCCTTCAGGCAGACCACGGAAAACAAAGCCGCCGGCGATATTGTCAGGAGGATAGAGAAAATGTTCAATGTATGTTTACCAATTTCATACATGTATATTTCGCAACATCTTTTGAATTATTTTCTTTGCAGGACTCGGTTGACGGTTATCAGCGCTCTTTGACGGAGGGAGAACGCAAACTTGTCGAGCTGCAAGAAACAAGTGGATCATTCGTGCCTCAGATGACCTTTATTTTTGCCGCTCATTGCTTCATACTGCTCATAATGATAAGACAACTTGTAAATTTGTAAAAAAGACTGAAATAAATATATTTTTCAATTGTGTCTTCAGCATCATGCGTTATGATTACTGTGAATGCAAAATTAAAAGCTTTTGTACTATGTACAATAGGGCTGATAACTTATTTCTTTGCTTGCCGTTCCTCCTACAGCGGCGGACCTGATCCAGTGGCAAAAAACGTACCATTTTGCATTCAGGAAGTATCAAAGAGTGTCGCAAAATACCTCCCTCTCCAAGTGAAAAAAAACTCACATTTCAAAAGCGCGCCCGCTCTTTTTGTGAAGAAAAAAGGCGCGCCCTTCAAAACAAAGTTTTTTTTCACTTGGAAGGGAAGCATTTTGACACATTTGTTCTACTTCCTGGATGCGAAATGGGACGTCTTTTGCCACTGGATCAGGTGCCCCACTGTACTTGCTTGCAAGTAAAGTTTTGTGGATTCGGAAAACTTTCTTTATGTACAGGGTGGGCCAAAAAAAATGGACAAAATTAAAAGTCGGTGTATCCCGGCACGAATGCCGTAATCAACGGAAAGGAAAATAGTTTTATAATTGTCAACTATCCTACTTTATCACAACTATTTAAATTTTTTATATACTTTTGTTGAACCGCTGATACACGCCAAAATGCTATCCCAGTCCATATTCTGACTACGTTTTCCGAAAATTTTATGAGTCAAAAATCTTCAATGACCTGAACGTCTACGACCAGCCCAAAACTGGTGGTTGACTGTTTATCATGATACTAAGGGGAGCCCACAGAAGCAAAAAAGCTGATAGTATTCTATCAATTGCGCTCCAGCAGTTCTCAACGTGATCCACAAGAGGTCCATCTAGATAATTCTAGATTTTTGAGATAATTGACATTCAAGAGTCGCAGGGGAGCCCGGCTCATGCTATTGATAGCAAAAAGTGGTCACTGTAAGACATCTAACATTGCTTTACACGGGCCAGCAGTTGATTTGATAATAGCTTGGATCAGCCGTGCGCAGACCTTAAAAAATTTCAGCCGGCTATACCCAGAGACGCTGCTATTTTTTGATCAGAAATTTTTTTCTTTTTTGTTGGCGTTTTTCAACGTGCCGGATAACTATGACGGGATACTTTTATATCAAGGTGATACGTCCCCTTTCTTCCGTTTTAAGTCAGTTTCATAAAAATGAGGATGCAGCTAGCCTTCAGAATCCGTGTATTATTGCGATGACCCATCAAAAAGTCAAAAAAATCGATTTTTTGCTTGCCATCTTGCTGATTGAATGGTACTATTGTCAAAAATGCGCTTAGCATATTCATCGTAGAGTAGTAAACACCGTACGGGGGTAATTAGTTTCAAAATGTTCACCACGTTTGGTAGAGCATCGATTTTCCGAAAGCGCCCAAATGAAGCTCGATTTTCCCTGGCAGAGTGTCTAACTTCTGGGCACTGGTTCTTCATTTTTCGAAAAGCTTGGGTTAAATCCTTTTAAGGCCTAAGAGGGCATGTCTCCTAGATTTGCGTAGACCGCTTGGTATATCTTTACAGCGACTCTAAAAAATTTAGGAGTAAGAAATTTTGAAATTTTTGCCGCGGGAATTGGCGCACTGACCCTGTGGCCTTTCTGCAACCGTATGTTAGAAACTTCTGCAGATAGGACAAAAATTCTACAGTAAATATGTTACCTTAACACAGTACTTTCATGCCATATATAACTTTTTTCACAAACTGTTTCATGGCAGGAAAAATCGAAGAAAAATTAATGTCCATTTTTTTTGGCCCACCCTGTATTTATTAGCTCTAAAAATCAAACTTTCAAGGAAACTCAGCTCGCAGCGCGCTGCAGCGGTACCCCGAATATTGAACGGTTTTTTCATAGTCAACTTTTTTTGAGTATCACCCAGTTCTTTGACTGAGCTTTTTCCAAATCTCTCGATTTCCGGCCAAGCTTTATATTATTATTTTTTATTACCATTTAATCCTGGAATTACAAGCGAAGACAACGTCCGTATCCGGATTACACCGCAAAAAACAAACAATTTATCAGACAGTGAGCGAGAATACCCGATAATACCCGTATTTACAAGGCACATGAAATAGAGATCTGATGAGAAGTTTACAAAACAAATATTACACTTGATGTAGTATAAAATAATAGCTTAGATGTTCGCAATTCAAGCTTGAAATCTCAGCGGAGTTTTCCCAAAATCCGAATTCACCTGTAAAGCTTTCATATTGATGTAGACTTCCGCTTGATGACAAAAATTTATGCCCTAAGCTATTGCCAAATTCTCAAAAAAAGGTGGAGAATTTGATAATAGCTCCTAGAAAACACATGTCATGTAAAGAAAAGATGTTGAAAGCTTTCTAAAATCGGCAGAGAGCGAAACAATTATTTTTAGAAGGGGAAGAGACGAGTGATTTCTGACGGAAATTTCTCAAAGAATAATGTCGCGATTTTCTTCAAATTTTGGTAGTGCATTCTACAAGCATAGCTTAGTAACTGCTAAAAATATTCGCTCATAAAACACAAGGGTTTTCGAGATATTCAAAAAAAATTTTTGGGTAGCTCACTAGGACAGATCGCGGAGGACGGCCAAAAATTGCTCTGTAACTAATCTTTTTAGGGGTCTCCGTTAAACAAAACCTTATTTTTATATACTGCAGAGTGTGTACTTGCAATAATAGATCCTGCATCCAAATTTGAAAAAAATCGACAAACCGAACCCCGCAAATTTCCCTAATAAATATCAATCCGACAGGCATTACAACAACACTGAAGCCGAATCGGACAACTCATCAAAGTCCTTCGGTGGAATTTGTGAGACAATCGAAGGCGATAACAGTGTCACAGAGTGTCTCAATGATGTTCTTTGTGAAGCAGGAGAGGTCCCAGTGTCTTCGGTGCATTCGGAAGTGTACGTTGGGATGACTTTCCTAAAAAAAACTTGACGTTAAACCGGCATTAAAGGAAAAAGGTTGGCCAAAATTGCCCGCGAGGATTATCCCGACGACATTTGGACAGATTACAAAGTCAAATCTTTTTTTCCTATTTTTCTATAAATGCTACGTCAACAAGAGATTACCGATGACTTTGAGAGGCATGTCAAAGGTCTCCCGTCATCAACGAACTCAACGATTCTTGAGGATTGTTGGGAGGGCCGTCATAGAAAAGGTCCTTACATGTAATATGAGAAATATATAGTAAATCCGATAAGTTCCGAGGCGAAACATGGCAATATAAGACGACAAAACCTGTCTTTACTAACGCTATAAAATGGCAAAATTAAGTTTACCGTGTTCTACGAAATACTCAAAAACTTTAACCAAATGACCTGTGGTAAGTTTGAGGAAACCCCGAGCTTTCTACGTTGAGAAATTCCACCTCAACTTTTAAAAAATCAAGATTTTCTTACCTGAATTCCGTCCCCGATCCTCTTGGTGACATCCGTGATCTTGGCACTGAATCACACGGTGTTTTCACGTCAAAAACATTCCTCGTAAAGATGCTATGCTTATAATTCTCCACACTCGTCCTCCGACTTCCACAGCCCATAACTTTCGCCCAGCTTTGCTGAACGCCCATTCGAAAGCGCTCCGATAAAACCCCGTACAAGATCGGGTTAATACACGAGTTTGCGTACGCCAAAATCTGCGCCGAAGTCTGCACAATGAACAAGAGTTGTGGGATCTTCTCCCAGAACGCCATATCCGGGTAGCTGTAGCCGCGGAAGAAGAAGCGGAAGTTCTGCGGGAACCAGCAGAACCCGAACGTCATGATCACGGTGAACACCATCTTCGTGGCATGCCGTTTCATCCGCTGACTGTTCTTTGAGTGCGTTAACTTCTCTTTCCATAGTGCTTTGACCAGCAGCAGGTAGAATACGGTGGATAAAGAGAGGGGGAGCACATAGGCGCCGAGATTAAATCCCCAGAAGAAGATCCGGGCCTTGGTGAGGCTGGCCTCGGCGAAGCCAATGTCCAATGAGTCCACACAGTAGTAGACGGAGGACTGTAAATTTTACAGATGTAAAGGTGAAGCAAAATAAGGACAGGAAAGAATTAAAAGTCCAAGAAAACCAAAGTCTAGAGCGGAAAGATGAAGTGGGGATTTCTCAAGATACAAGGATGCGATTAGAGTGACATTTGGACTGTGTGATCTACAGTCCCTGTATTTTAAGTCCACAAAGATTTAGTTTGTACTTTCAAGCCGCAATCGAGATATTCAATTGTTTTTGTGGACGAGAGAGTAAGGAAAATATGGAGAGACGGTCAGAGAAATAGGTGCTTATCGACCATTTTTTCAAACTTTTTGCACTACGAGCCGACATTAGATTTTGCTTGTATGCAACAGTGTTAATAAAAGCAAGATTTGAGACGCAAAAAGTTATGTTTAGAGGTCTTACATTAGCTCCAGTTGGAATCAACCCCACACTTTCCATATTTGGCAAGTTCGCCAAGAAAATGATGATCCATAATGATATGCAAATATAAATGCAGCAATGGCTCTTTCGCAGCGTCAACGTTCGAGTTGGACATGCGATCGACTAAAGATACACGGTTATATTACACTTGATATAAAAGATCAAAACGAAAACAGAGTTTTTAAAAAGCTGCCTCTAAAATTGAAGACGACTACTTACCAAAAATCGATCATACGCCAACAGGACTAACGTCCACACACTAACATAGCAAGTCACATATTGTAATGTGACCATCCAGTAGCACACGCTCTCACTGAAATCCCAGTGAAAGATGTAACTGTATGCCGTGAGGGGGACGCAAAACGTGATAAATAAGAGGTCGGCCAACGCTAGGTTGCAGATCAATGTGTTTGTGCTGAAATTTAGAAATAAAAAAATTTGCATAAAAGAATAAAAATTTCAAAAATTTGCATAAAAGAATCAAAATTTTAAAAATTTGCATAACTTTCAAAAATTTGCATAATGTTCAAAAATTTGCATAATTTTCGAAAATTTGCATATTTCTTTAAAATTTACATAATTTAGTTTGTTATGAAAATTACTAAAGCTAGCCAAAATAAATCCTCACCTGTCATGTAGCTGTCTGTTGAAGATGATAACAAATAAAACAATCGTATTTCCGACGAACCCGACTAATATGATAATCATGAATACTATTGCGAGGGCCAACATTTCTGCCGACTAAATTCTAAAAAAAACAAAAAAATTATCATCAAATTAACAGTATACCGATGAATCGCGAGAAATTGTAAAACAAAAAAAATACAATTCAAAAAAAAGATTTTTTTTTTGAAATATTCGAATTTACAGCCTCAAATAAAGAACCAAAACACCGCATAGCTCGTCGGATTTCCCGGCATTTGTCGCCAACTTCCAAAAATGTAAAGCCCCAACGCATCTGAAGTTTAAGCCGCGTGCATTCCCCAAAAATGGGCGGAGTTTCGGGGAGGAAATTACACATACACTGTAAAGAAATTACACGAGGACGGACGGGGGTTTGTAATATAATAGAATTCAAGAAAGATTAACAAGATTAATGGAGTTTCAGACCCCGTTTTTCATGGATTTATATATGAAAAAGCAAAAAAAGATTTGAATTACTGGAAGTTGATGAGGCATGGGTAATACCATTTTTAATTTCGCTTAATTCCACGAGATTTGCGGGGATAAAACGCGCGCAAAAGTCTGCAATCGTTGAGAGATTACGCTCTGCACATGGGCCACAAAAATAGACGGGTTTGCAAAAACTCGACGATTGAAAATTACGGTAGAAACACGGGATAAAAATGGATTTGTACGCTACTGGATTACATTGAGGGTTTTCGAAATCTGTCAAAAAATAGACAGTTTGGAACAAAGAGTTGCGTGATGTCAAAAGGAATTTGTTGCAAGGAGAAAATGGCTGCCAAAGGGGATAAAAAAGTCCCGATTTGGTATCCAAAATCATCATAGAAAAAATGATGACTTAACTTCGCGGAATCCACGTAAACTATAGACTTCAAGCAAGCGTTCATTTCACAGTAAACAGCTTGGTATGTCTATGGAAAAGTAATTATAATTCTGCAGGATAATAACAACATACTATGGAATACATATCTTGTGGCAAATAGTCCTGGGAATTTTCTACATCTCTGAACATGACCTCCAAAAAAAAGTGAGCTTGCACCGTGCATTTTCGTATTTTTTTACAGTTCTCATTTTTCGCAGCGACAAACCATTTCTTCGGAGGGCGACCGAATTTTGAGACCGCGAGAAATTCCCAGGACTTTTTGCCGTGAGTTCAGACGGGTGGGTCTATGTATACATAAATATTTGTTTTCGGAAAATTTTTTAGGTGAGCTCCAACTATACATATACAATGTTAGGCTGCTCTTTTGTCGGGCCCATAATTTCAATCAAAGCAAAATTTTTGCACTTAGCTTTATCCAATTTTAATATTTACATTCTATTAGGGGGTCTGCATAATTTGGCCAACTTTAAAATCCATCAAAGAAAAACTATTGCTGTTTTGAAGCCATCCAAATATGGCATCATTCTATTCAGTGAAGCGCTGCTACCACAGTTTGTGTTCCATTGGTCAAAAGCAGGAGTTGCGCCTGGTTCCTTCAAAGTCTGACAGTCGCTGGGACACTTTCAATATCGTTTTCAGCTCGTCAAATTTTCAAAGAAGGCTGTAACAAACTTTGCCTCCCATCAATGACCACTAAAAGAGCAAACAAATCCTTAATATTGCCCGCACTTTTAGCGCATCACATGTCATGTGTAAGTGAAATGCCGCCAACACATTCGCTGATTAATGCCCGGCTTGTCCAGACGAAAAATGCCGAGACAGCAGGCGGTAGAGTAAGTACGTACATATAAACGGCAGTTCACAACATAAGTGGAGATAACACGGCCCGGTCTTTTATGAGCAACTCGCACAAACTCAAACACCTAATATTCCATGAGGGAATGGAGAAGGCGTCGGCTTAGAACGCCCGAATGGAGCCAGGCCCGCTGGGCATTAGCACATTCGAAATGATTTGTTAGACGAACCGGATGCGAGCAATTAATTGAGTGGATAAATTGCACGGCTTATACTGTGGGAAGATGTTTGCAACGGAAAGTGTGAAATTTAAGCCCTCAAGGGAGTTCCGAGAAACTGCGTCAACTTGATTGAAAACTTTGTCCTCAAAGGGTAAGAGGGCGAGTAATTCAGCATTTCGGACGGGATGGCCCATAAAATTGGTCTGACGAAACAGTTTTTTATTGGTTTGAAACTAAAGTACAGGGATTACTCGCGTCATAAAGACTGTGGAATTTGCAAGAGGGGTGTAGCTGATGAGGGGATGGTCTGAACTTCGTTTTGAAGAACTTGGCCTGGGGGGGGGTCTTTTTAGGACCATAGGAAAATTTGCCTTGTTCCCCCCTTACCTCTTTTTAATATTTAAAAATGCTTAAAAAATCTTATTTTTTTATCTGGTAAAATACCAAAAAAGTCCTGGTAAATTTACAGTAAGGTGAAGTTGCCTTGAGGCACATTCTCCGAGAATTTCAGAGAGCCCAAGAATTTTGCACCTATTATTTTCCTTACCATACACGATCATAGACAACACGTTTCCTCCCCTTCCATAATTCAGCAAGTAAACATCGCTTAACATAAATGAAGTCTGAACCTCTTTCAATTATCCAAATTGTCAAAATCCCCGTCGCTAAGTGACTTTCGTCTGTTTAAAATCTTCGGAATCCTTCGGCAAAGCTGTCCTGGTGGCTTACGAAAAACAAAATCGGATATCTTAAACGATCATTTGTTTAAGCCTTCTCTAATGACCGATCTAAGAGTTTTACACCGGCCAGTTATTCTTTAAAATTAAAATTTCCCACTGTGGCCACGCCCTGTCGTAAAATTGAGGCAAACCCAACCAGTGTCGTAATTCTATGATGTTGATTGAGACTGTAGTTCGGAAACAGGTCTATTGTCAAGTGAAGGAAATACAATTTTCAGACGAGCTGTGTAACAAGTCTCAACGGAATGAAAGGAATGCGAAGAGTACAATAAAATGTGGTATAACCAAAGAGCAATGTGGAAACAATACAGTCTTCTTAGAACGAAATGGAACGGCTCTAAATATGTTTGGAAATATGTAAGCTATTGTCAGCGTCCTATAAGAAAACAGCGTGGATAGGATAAGGCGGGGAAGTTTGTTTTATAAATGTCGAGTGTCACTCTGCCGGGAAAATAATGTGGATTCGGCGTGAAAAAAACGAAAAAATCGCTTTGCGAGGGCTAGCCGCGGCTTTAAATTTGGTTCGGGGCTGTAACGAGGCGAGACAGGTTACTGCAACAAATCCACATTATTTTCACGACAGTAGGATGCATGTAGGTCACATATTAAGTACTGAAACTTTTAGCGACCGTTTTGCACGTAGACCCAAAGGCATGAACTCTCTTCTGACACGGGACGATGCACCAGAGAAAACAATTTCTGTTTATTTATTTTGCTTTTGTCAAACCTGAAGGACATGCAAATACGGTCAACCATCGGTCCAGCAAACCAAAATTGACTAAATGTATTTACTATGCAAGTAATTTTTGGCGCTTGAACTTTGCAGAAAAAGTGCAAGCGACAGCCCAAAAAAAGGAATTGCACAATGCACAGTGAACTTTCATTTTCTCACAGTACATGTTGCCGAAATCACCCCAGCGGCTTTGGATTACCCAACCAAAAAAGCCGACCCAAAAACATGTCATATCAACGTACTTTATGCGGCTTTAACCGCTCACTGGAGCGAAGAAAAGGAACTAATCCACCAAAAAATTATAATAATACATGATGCGTCTAACTTGATGACATAACTCATCAAGAATAGAAAGGGATTAGTGCCGGCGAGGTATTTTTGAAGATGATCTGCCCATCTCAAGGGAAGTGAACTATGTGCAGGTAAAAAAAGTAAGTTAGACAGGGCATGGATAATGACGAGATAAGCCCAAGATTGGCAAGTCTACCAAAATACGTCGAGTTCGCCGGGAAACCGGCGAGTTACGCGTGTTTTTCGGCTTATAATTATTATTTATCACTAACCGAAGAAATTAGAGGCCTAAAAACAAAAACAAGATGATCTGACGGGGGATTTGAATGCAGGGGCATTGGAAATGGATGACATAAGACAAATTAGACATTCGAGCTATTACGAGCAGTTCAGTACAGTATAGCAAAGAATAGAAGAAGGCCCAAAATTCATAGAAATGGAGTAAAATGATGATGTTACAAATAGCCTTTTTTGATCAGATTTTTATGAAAAACGGAATCTTGAAGCTTACACAAGCAGAGATCTTTGAGGATTTTACATCGGAAATTGCAAAAACTTTGCATTTTTCTTGATTTTTTTGTACTTCAAAGCCCATCGTATTTTACAAATTTTCGTTTTAACTTTTATCGAGACATAGTAATACAACGCAAGATTTTTTCAAAAATTGGCAAGGCTTTTCGCTGGCTATGCAACAACCATAGGGATATGTAGTTAAAAACAAGATTTTTTTTGTAATTTGAAATTTTTTGTAAAAAAATTGACAAAATTCTGAAGAGTTTGAATAAAAACATTTGACAAAGAAATGGATCATTCTCCGCAAAAAATTCATAGAGATAGGCCAAATTTTTTTTTCTATTTTCTCTCGCCATCTCTCCCCATTTCCGGCTGTCTTTTGCTGCAAAAAAAGTAGTTGCAAGAACCCCGGAAAATGAGAACACTTTCAAAAAACTAAAAAGTTTTTTTAATCTGGCTTTAATTGATACCCTTGAGGATACCCATCCACAAGTTTAAAAATTCATTCCAAGAATGTTTCATGTTGTGACGGGCGAAGTAAAAAGAGGAAAAGGGGGTTCAAGAATCATAGAACACTCTTTTAACAAACCTAAAATTACTGTTATTCACCCTGAATGGCAGTGGGAGTAATTTCGAGGGCGATAGAGATCTTTTTTGAGCACAAAACTTGATCATTCCCTTGAACAAATTGTTACAAAATTGCTTCAAAAATTTGCTACAGTACGTGGAACTTGCTCCTTTCAATTTGCAGATAGAGCACTTGTTTATTCAGCAACAAAAAATTAAGTCGTATACGTGACAAGTGGAATGAATGCATTCAAACGACTCCCAAAAGAGTCTCTATTTTCATAGTGCGCATCTATTTGCAT